CATTGCTTCTGAGGTCCTGCCTCAAAGTTGCCAAACCCTCTTTCATGACTCTCACAGAATTTTCTGCGGCACCTACAGATTGATGCGCTTGCGGGGCCCCCCGTACGATTGACAAGGCTCTACCTACATCAATCCCTCGAAGCAAAGCAGTCACTGCTTGTTCAGCATCTGTAAGAATTTCTAAGGGATATTTCGAAGGCCCAACAAGGTTGAATTCTGCAAGCCAAGCTTTGACCCATTGCTGAGTGGACCGTGCGTCGGTCTCAACTGGTGCAATACCTCGCATCCCAGTGATAGCGTCAGCCAAAATCAAATACTTATAAGTTGAAGGTGCACGCATCCCAGTTGGAATGAACAAGAAGTCACAAATCAGCTCGCTTTGCATGGCGTCTTTGCGTTTCCGTCTACGATGGCTGGTGGACTTGGCTGCAACGCATGTTAGACAGTCTGGATGAAATGGAAAATGACCCTGCATACGATGTTCCTGCAACTTGTCCAAATTCTTCCTATCCTTTCTCAAAATGGATGGATGACTATGCTCACCGCTCTCCACCTGCCTGGAATCATCAGGACCTGCCAGAAAAGGTGAATTGGAAACATCTGCATCGAGTTCGGTTGCGTGATTGGGCTCAAAATCATAGTCAAACGGCTCGCTGGAAAACTGAATTCGTTCAGCCTCCAGCTGATCACGTATGGAAACTTCATTGGGGTTCGGATTCAAAGTGCTAGAAACGGCTGCGGGATCCAGTTCTCGGATATCCGTATCCGCTGAGCGCTTTGTTGTCATTACAAATGGCTGGTCTTCAAATGCAAGCTCTTCGGAATTCACCATCTTCTCAACCGATTTCCTTTCCAAACTTTTGTCACTTGGCACATCGATTGGCATGTGTTTGCTGTCATGCAAAATCCATGGAACATTTTGCCATGTCACACTTGACAGTCTGAAATTGCCAAAGTGCACGGACACCTCACCGCCGTCACTACCAAGACTCCATCCTTTTCGAAGCAAATTCCCCACTGAGAGGACATTATTTGGAGCATCTGCAACAAACGCCGAAATCCAGCATTCTTTCAAGAAAGTTTTGGACGGATCATTGGTTGCGACCATGGTGAAAAACACTCGTAGACAAACAAGAGAAATTGGAAAGATCACTTCGCCTGATGCTGTGGAAAATCCCGGTCCCGAATTTGGTTTCAAACTCACGGACTTGACAATTCGGTATCGATCTACAAATCGTGCGCTCACAACAGAGGCGCTGGCTCCTGAGTCAATGAGCCACCAATCAGCATCACGATGGCTATCCGAGGCTTGCTGCAAACATCTTGTTTCATTGGAATTACTCATTGGGCATAAAAAAGGCATGAAAAACAGATTGTCTGTTTGCAAGTGGCTTGAAAACTCTGAGTCAGGAAAACTTTGATCAGCACATGAAGGAAAAACGCTGCAACAACAATGCTCAACGCTGCATGCCGACAAAGTGTCAGAGTCAAACGAGACGTTCTTGCTCTGCTTCTGCAAATGGTCAAGGGACTTTTCAAAGTTCAACACCTTCTGTTGGTACCACTGGCCAATGAAAGACTTCATTGGTGGCTGATGGTCCGTAGAACTGGATCCAGTCCCATCACCTTCAGGCGGATTCTCGCCTTCCTTGTGCTGCTCCACAAGTTCATTGATCTTGCCTTTTCCGGTACCTTTCTTTCCCTGACCACTGCCTTTGCCCTTTCCACCACTGTTGTTCTCTGGCCCCTTTTTCTCCTTGGAATCTGATCTCTTGCTATTCTTGGCAGCAGTACTCATGTCCAGCGGCTTCCCATTGGAATCTTTCTTGGCATGACAATTTGTCTTGTAATGACCTTTGCGACCACAACGGAAGCAAGTATCATTCTTTTCTTTCTCATTCTCGTCCTTTCCTGCTGAACCGCTCCTGCTGCTTGAGTTCTCCTTTCCCTTCTTGCCTTTCCCTTTTCCTTTTCCCTTTTTCCCACCATCCAAAGCACTGTGCATGTAGTGCGAATTGGTGTTTCCAGAAATCTCTGTCCAAATTCTGGAACTGGATTCATACCTCAAAGCTGCGGCTTTCAAGTCTACATACTCATCGGTTTTGGAATAAAGCATCACATAGTCACGAGCTGAACCAGTTAGGCTACGAAAGAGGATCATGCTAAAGTCCGAGGATTGAATCAACAGTCCATCCCGACTCAAATGAGTAGGCAACATTGCGAGCAATTTCTGATAACGGCTCTCTTCATAGTCAAGATTTTGGATCAGCTCAGTGATGCTGGCTGCTTTGAAAGTACGATTCACTAAAGCACTACGAAAATGCAAAATTTCCTGTCTTGATTTCAGCATGTACTCTGCCACGATAAGCCGAAGTGCTTCGAAGCCATTCTTTGGTCCGGGCTTTTCCTGATATGCCAACAGAATTATTCTTGCTTTGGCCGTCTGACCAAAAATCTGCCGCAACATACCAAGTAGACGGGCTCCACGTGCAAGCTGCGCTGTGCTCAGCTGGTGGTTGGGAATCGCATCAAGACAACTGGCTGAAAAACGAATTTCATGGGCAAATTCATGATTGATCAGGCCAACCCAACTTACTAGGTTTTCTACAAATGATTCGATGCCCAAAATTTCATCCAAGCGTGTGCGCCATTTCGATGAATCCACTGAAGGCATGGCGGGCAGCCCTCGATCTGACTTGGCCAATGCATCAAGTCCGACCGAAGCTCCCACTGTCTCCGAGCCAGCTTGATTCATGACCCGGGCCTGACTGCTCTCCACACCTGGAATGCGCACAGCTGGATTAGTGGCTGTTGGGGCACTCGACAAGTCACCAAAACCAAGTCCTCCGCCAAGAGGCGAAGAGAATGGGCTGGACAAACTCTCGATCTTCCTGGAATCTGTGGCGTGCGAAGTCGGATCAACAGGCGTGTTGCTACCTGCAGGGATTTGTGCTGCTGCATTCTGCGCAGCACTTTGCAAGGAATTCAATTGAACCTGTTGACTTTGAAACGCTTTGCTGGCAGCAAGAAGGGCTGACTGTTGTCCCTTCATCTGCTCAACCACAGTCTCCAGATTCTTTCCCATATTCACTAAGTTCGCTTGGAGTTCATGAACCTGCTTCTCAAGCGCAAGAGTTTTGGCATCTGGCTGCATGGATCCAAGGGACGGAACAGGCAACGATCTGTGACGCTCAGAGACCATCATTGGGCGACCACTTTCGATCCTTTGACGCGATCTCCCACGGTCATCAAGTTCACGAGACCGCTCCCTTCCAGAGGCCATGGCTGCACACCGGAAAAACTGGTTGTAATTCTATGTTGTCCCTATTGGGGGCGTTGTCCCAACTGAAAACTGGATCAACTACTTTCTGAGCACCACGTGCTCCGCTACCATGCGGAATTTAACAGCCCCAGGGGATAAACAGTAGGTTGTCAACCAGATACCTTTCAAGATCTTAAAATGTGAGTTCTTATGATGTCACTCCCAGTGAAATCTCTGTTCTGATCTTTTCCATAATCGCGGTGTGGCCCTTGAGCCAGATTCCGGGATGGAATTCATTATTCCATGGACAGCACATCCAGCCTTTGGCAGGATGAAAAACTGTTTTCTTTGCATCAGTTTGGGTTAGATCCAAGTCCTTCAGTTCTGTTCTCTCACAGCCTACTCACTTGGAAATTCTTGTCGACCCAAACGTTGACCTAATTAGCACCTTCTATGGTGCAAAAGTTGGTGTCAAGCAACTTCTTCTGTGTCACATGCAAAACAATGAGTGAACAGCAGTGAACGAAATTTGCAAATCAGTCCAAATTTAAAGTGGATCTAAGTGACAAATTCTGAAACTATGTCTCACTGTTCTTGGCTGAGATGGTCATTCGCTCAGACACTTGGCTTGTCTACTTTCCTGCTATCACTACGTTTCCACCACTTCTCAAGTGGCTCTTTCTGCAGTTCAGAACATTCAAGCAAACATTTGGTTCCACTAAATGTGAAGATTGCACAAAACCAAAAAAAACGGAGAAATATGTGCAACTGATTATGGCTTCGCAAATTAAATCCGAGATCGCAACTGCGAGACTCTCTGAACTGAGTGCACGGGCACAATCCAAATAAATCGCACTGCGCTAAGCACTATAGGTCAATGCTCGGATGCTTGTAGTTACATGTGGTTGCCGATGGCTTCTGAAGACAAGCAAATGGCATAAAGTCTAGAGTGTTGGAATCGGTTTCTCTCACATTTTCCACAACTGTTCTCAGTTGTGAGCAGCTTTCCCATCTGAAAATATTTCTGACTGTCGCAGTGGAGCACGCACTCCCAAGAAATTTAGTTCAAGCTCTCGTGACATCTGCTGCACTAAGTTTATGTCTACCGACGGATGCATCAAAGATGCACAGACATTATCAAACTAAATCTCTATGGAATGAGATCCTCACTCTTTGCACTGCACCTTTGGATTCACAATTCCGGCAGGAATTGTGCAAAACTTGGCTTATCACTGTCCAAAAAATCAATACTCTTTCTCAGGAGAAAATTTCGTGTGTTCTGCACCAAAAATCAACTGTGCTTTGGCGTTTTTGATCAAGAAAATCATTTCAATTGGTGTTGAGCACCAAACGGCATATGCTTCATGAATTTAAGCCTAAGCGGCTGAGATTTTGGATCTGAAGCGCTGACACGATTGTTAACATGCACCTCTGTCCCAGATGGTGCATTATATTCACATCATCATCATCATCAGCATCATCATCATCAGCATCATCAGCATCATCAATCATCAATCATCATCAATCTTCATCAATCATCATCAATCATCATCAATCATCATCAATCATCATCAATCATCATCAATCATCATCAATCTTCATCAATCATCATCAATCATCATCAATCATCATCAATCATCATCAATCATCATCATCATCATCATCATCATCATCATCACCACCACCACCATCATCATCATCATCATCGTCATCCTGCTCCCAACCAAAGTCAAGGCTCTGTAGATGGCATTCAAGGCCTTCTGCCACTGCAAGTCCTTGCCACACGCGGTAATCACAGGAGTGTAGTTGACGACCTAAGTGGCACAGATCAACCAAAATTGGATTCGAGGGCCGACACCCCACTCCAAAACATCCCAAAAAAACATTCTGCGGTTGCCAATACCACACACTTTTTATCTATTTTCTGTGTTGAAATTTGGGCGGGTCCCAATTTTCTGACAGAAGTGCAGTGAAAAGAAGGGCCGTTGCCAGCCTTGCCCCGAGATCCCTGAGATCCCACACGTTGGGCGCAAGGAGTGTCTCCTGAAACTGCGATTTTTTTCGAGCTGCGAAAAAACAAAAAAACGGAGCCCAAGTTCGTTCCTTTCCCCCAGCAATGTTTGCTGGAAGAGTTTCATGACTTGTCCCTAAACTCAGATGTCCTCTGCAAACACGTTGTGGTTGAGTTGGGTCTACACAATGTTTTAGACTACAAGACAGACCTAAGAGAAATCCTTTCCAAGCCCACCTAGGTTCACTTCATTTACCACAGATTTCTCACATATTCCCATGGCTCAAGCCATCCTGACACCAGAAGGTGATATATTAAAGCCATCTAAAGCCCATCAGATCCTATCAGATCCCTATCAAGATCCGATTGAAATCCCCAAGAAAATCCCATTCACAACATCCCCACCATCATTTCTGGGATCCCCAATGATCCCCATGTGACCCCAATGATGCCCATTTTCCAACCTCCATGTGCCGCAAGGCGCCGCACAGCATCTCCCAGCCGCCGTTTTTATCGGCCGCGGCCGACGCCACGTTCAGACGCAGCCGCGACCGCGCCATGCCGTGGAGCAACTGGAGGCCGTTGCGCCAGGGGGAAAGGCTGCTGGCGACCTGGGAAGACATCGAAAAACCATAGGAAAAAACGTGATTGAACCCCATGATATGCCAGTTGTACCTCTGATATATGGAAAATTATGGAAACAAATATGGAAAAATGGGGCCTCCTAAAGTAAACACCATAGGAACATGGTGATTGAAGCAAGAACAAATGGGAGTTCATATGAGTTCATGGGATTTATAGTTGATTTATGATTCCAAAGTTGGTAAACATAACTCCAAGAACTATGGTTTATTATAACCATATAGCATACTATAGCTATAGACAAGTTGGTGAACATAACTCCATCTAGATATGGAAAGATATGGAAACTCCACCTAGATATGGACAGCCAAGTTGGTGAACAGAACTCCAATAACCAGCCAGTTTTTGATACTTATGACTATAGTTCATGGATAGTATCGAAAGTTATAAGTTAATTACACCACCAAACAGAATTCAGGGGCCCAAAAAATTGTGTTATGAATCCCAGGATAATGTAAGGCTTAGTTGTCTAAACCTACTTTTTTTCCATACTGTATGGAATTTTCAGATACACCCGAGGTTCGTGAAAACCGATCTTCCCATGGACTATCCGCAGTTGATGATGCTTGAGACCCCATGATTCTGGGTAAATTATAATAATTCACTGAACTGAATTAAGGCCATTTTGGGATGATTCCTCTTACTAACCATGATTATAGTGAGGTCGCAGTGAGGTCGTTATAATTTACCCAGATGATTCCAGCAGTTGAAGACCCAGTTTTTCAGAGCAGTGTTCACAACCCGAGGTTCGTCATCCCTGTATCTTGGAGGCTTAAGAACGGGATGAACAACGCTCATGGATGATGATCATCCCCAATACCCTCTGGTAATGACTAACATAGCTATTGAAAATACCCCATTTATAGTTTATTTACCTATTCAAAATGGCGATTTTCTATAGTTATGTTAGTTTACCAGAGGGTACATTGAGTAGTACAACCCCTAAAATAATCCATCAAAAACGGTCTTGAACACTGCTCATGTGATGAATCGGAGGATCACGGGCTTCCTATGTAAGGTTTTAAGGTTTTCTCTAATGGCAACATGTTCAAAAAAAATGCTGGACGTTCCATTGTCATGTTTAATTGCCAAAGGGTATGAGTCATACAAGTTAGAAAGTGTTTGCAATGTTTATCACATCCATACTATATTACCACAACTTGGAGCTTGCCACAGAGTGTAACTTTGTACATGATAAAGAACAGAAAGTGAAGAATATAAAGTCGGATGATGTTGGATAAGAAGATATTTGTCACATCAATTCAGAACTGTACGTCCACCGATTTTCCCGATTTACCAATGGCAGGACACGTTGACAACCACGATTTTTGATGTCTCATCAAGTTGATGTTGTAGCGCCTGAGCGATGGAGACAGGAATGTCCAGCCACACCAAATCAATCACAGTTCTGGCCCTTTACCAGTTATAAGTACTTGTAACCCCATTTATAGAATGTATAATCCCACTTATAACCAGTTATAACTGATAAATGGCCATAACTGCACCAAATCAATCAGGAATCAGGTATTCACGGTCTTTGGATCTTTTTTTCTAGAAACCAACCGGTTGCACTGCGAGAAATTTCGAGAATATCTGGTTGGTGGTGCAAACTCACCATCTTGAAACATGATGGAGTTCGTCAATGGGAAGGATGACATCCCATATATGAAATGGAAAATAAAAGCCATGTTTGAAACCACCAACCACTTACTGGTGCGTTTTACGTAGGGAATGGATGGGTTGCTGGGGGTTGCTGGGATGATGACATGAAACTAGTGATGAAATGGATCATTCCCTATCATTCCCGAACATTCCCTGCGTAAAACGCACCAAATAAACATACCGGAACTATAACACATAATTTGGTATGTTGAATAATCCTATGTTTAAATATTAAATATATATATATATATACATATATACATATATATATATACATATATATATATATACATACATATATATATATATATACATATATACATATATATATATATATTTGGTATGTTGAAGACCAAATAAAGTCTTCAAATTAGATCTACATCGCACGGCGGAACGAACGCGTTACCCATGGATCGATCCACACAGCTCATGCGGGAGCAGCTCGATAGCCACTCTGTGACCATTTTTGTAGATTGTTGATGTTGATCTATAGATATCTATAGATTCTTAATGTTTTGAAAATACACTGATACCATGTTTAGTTCCCTGGTTGATTGATGTTGATTGGTTATTTTCTTAGAGGAGTTACCCTCTGGTAATGACTAACAGTTTGCTATTGAAAATGGCCATAGAAATAGTGGATTTTCCCATGAAAAATGGTGGATCTTTCCTTATAGCTACGTTAAATTACCAGAGGGTAATTCATGTCATATATCCATTTATAAATCTCATATATGATCATATATGTTTGTTGGTTAAATAGGCCATGTTATCAACGAGCTAAGTAGGTGAAGTTCAATTCCATGATATCCCCATGAAATCCCATGGAAGTCCAACAGTCCAACCTGCCGAGTTGCTTGCAGCAAGGACCAGGACTCTTTCCAGTCCTGCCGTACCATTTTCTCCATGGAAACTTGAGGGTAACTATTTCCGTAAATGGTGCCTGAAAATGAGTTTGTGTCAGCCCCCCATTGCCCTTTCATCATGATGATGATAATGATGATACCCTGTGGGACTGAAGAAGTCTGGTTGTTCCCTTGACCTTTCCAAAGTGTGTCAATCATGGTCAACCCACATTCAGACTACCGCAGGTCTCAAGGTAGAGTCTAAGTGTCATACATATGCTAATATTAATAATAACAATAATAATACTACTAATAATAAAAATAAAAACAATAATATTAATAATACGAGTATGTATTTGATATTGTTTGATTACATAGATACTTACATAGAAACTGAATGAGCTTCATGAGCTACCATTTTTGGGCTCCTCCATGCACATCAAGCTTCGCTGCCAGCCGAATTCAAGAGCCTGCTGCCACCTCGACATGATGTAGGGATTTCATGAGATTTGACGGGGATTCATGTATTGGGGATTTACCCTCTGGTAATTTAACCTAGCTATTGAAAACGACCATGTATAGTGGATTTTCCCATTAAAAATGGTGATTTTCCATAGTTATGTTAGTTTACCAGAGGGTAAAGAGGTTTAGCCGGTTCAGCCCACTGATAGGATATTCATGGGGATATCAGTAGGATATATCATCAACACATATCAATAGCTATCAACACGGGGTGATATTTGGGCTGTGAAACTGGGCTCTGCATTTTAAGCGGTGCCAGAAACTCAAACCCAGCGGAGTTCATAGAGTTCCACCGGTAAATCGACCCATTTACCCCTTGTGGCTATCATTTACCTATAGCTTGGAGCAACACTGATTCATGTCCTATGCATTGGAGTACTCTTGCTATTGAACATGGCCCAGTCGAAATAGTGGATTTGCCCATTGAAAATGGTGACTTTCCATAGTTTTTTGTATGTTTACCAGAGAGTAACTGGCGGGAAAAACCTTGGTTCCATCCACTAAGGTGATTGAGACTGGCTGGTTAAAATTGGATTTCCCATAGACTCTGATCATCTGATCATCCCTAATATATATATATATACATATATATATAGCAATATATTTATATAATTATATATATACATATTAATTGAGAAGTTGAACCCCTGAACACATCCAACCACCAGGGGTCTGACTCTTGGCAACCTCTGACTCTTTTTGGGGTCGCGCCTCTGACTCTTCGCACAAAGACTTCTCAAGGAGTCGCTGCACCTCTGGTCCTTGTAGACTAAGGGGCAACCGGGCAACCGACTCCTTGTTGAAGATTAGGGACCTACGAATCACATCGAATGTATGTTGTATGTGTTCAGATTTAGAAGGAATGAAATTGTAAATGTTCATAAATGAAGCGCATTCGGAATGCCACCCATGATCTTCCCGGCAGAAAAAATGATGTTTTTATATGTTTTTGTGGATGTTGTGAACAAACATAGACCATCAACCTTTGGCGAACCTGGGTGAATGGAGAAAAACATACCATGCGGTGAAGCTCCAGAGCCTACCGGCCCTACCGGTCCACGATCCTAGGAGACGATCAAACCATGATGAATCTTAGATACCTGGCAAAACAGAAAACACTAATTCTTATCTGGTGAATGTACATTTTACCATAGCAAGAAAAATAAAGTACTATAGTTTGTATATGTTTGCTATAAACATCTAATTTTGGTTGATATATATATATGTATATATAGATATATGGTTTCAAGACACCACAATTTTATCTATGGTGTTTTTAAAAATGTTTGTATCAAACCAAGGTTGACCGGTTGACACCACCAAAAATTGGATCATTCCAAGCTGGGAAAATGCTGGGAAAATGCCGAGATTTCTCTTGATGAACCTGTTTTCTGAATGGTTCCCCTTAAAGAAACACCAATCTATTATGATTATCTATGATCATCTATGTAAGTTCGATAGAGAAATCATTATATATATATACAAAATATAAGGAGTGTTATCCTTAAATGAAATCAAACCAACAAACAAAAACTCATAGACCAAGCACAATCTATGGAATCTATGGGTTGTGGTCCGAAAGGATGGAAGTGTTATAAATGATGGAACCCAATGCATTATTACTCTATATAGATGACCAAAAAAAATGATGGCTCCGCTCCATGCGGGTTCACCCAATCGCAGTTCTTGTCGGACCTTTCTGCTGGTGATTTGCCAATTTTCTCTGGAAAATGATGATGAAACCTCACATGTTGAGAAAGTCTTCCCACCATTTTCGAGCAAAAAAAATTCTTCGTTGTATTGCTTAGATTGATTTCCAACCAATCATTGGCCTTTTCAGCTACCTAAATCACAGGTACCGACAATATAGTTTCCAAAATGTGGCTTGAATTCTATGGTATAGTGGCTCCATATGTGAAAAAAATGTGTATCTCTAAATCCTGTTCATGATCATGTTCCAGAATTTAAGGGTGTTGGTTGTATATCCCACTAATATCCATATTTAAATGTCCCATTTCTGTCCCCCTATGATATCCCTATGAGCCCCCCATAAAATCTCCATCAAATACTCATTGAAATCGCATGTTTCTCTTTTTTGAAACGTCAACGTTTATGATCATTCCACAACAAAAACAAGCCTAAATACCAACCAAAGATCCCGTGGTTTCTCTATAAAACACCTTTTTGTTGTTCATCATTTCCAAAGAACAACCGCCTTTTAACCCCCAAGTAGCTTAAAAACAACTACTTTCTGATAAGTGAATTTATAGCACCATCTTTTGATCCTTAGGGTTTGTTGTGGCATTTCTTTTTGTCATCACCAAAGGTACCAGCTGAAGTTCTCGGCTTTGTGCCCAGCGCATCATCTGCAGGGCCCTGTGCCAAGCCGCCGCATCATCTGCAGCCGCCTCGAAAGTAGAGAGGCAGGAGCCACAGAGCACCTGACAGCGGCGAATTTCTGAAGTTCTGGTGATCTTTGTCTGGGAAAAATCTAAGTTTCTGTTTTTTTTGAGTGAATCTATGTGAATAAAAAACTGAAGTTCTATAGTTCTGGTGATTTTTGTCTGGGAAAAATATGAGACATTATATGTGAAGATGATGGGGAATATCTGAAGAACTACCAGTATATAGTTAAATCTGTAGAAATCGTCAACTATATAGCTAACTCTATTGAAATAACAAAACTGAGGACAAACTATAGTTCACTATAGTTAGCTTCCCCATGAGGCCAATATGTTGAGGGAAGAAATAGGCAATGCCCCAAAGATCCCAAACCACAAGTGAACCATTGTTTGAAGAAAGATTGGGAGTAGAGGAACATAGTCAACATATGTCAACTTCAGATCTGTAAACTTAGAGTAGATTCGTAGATGCTGAGATCTGTGGTGAGATCTATGGTCATGCGAACGATGGATGCTTTACCTGACTGGTTGGTGGTTTTAACCCCTCTGAAAAAATATTAGTCAGTTGGGATGATTATTCCCAATATATTCGAACATAAAAAGTGTTAAACCACTAACCACCTGAGGTGCTGCCGATGTATATCTTCGTGTGCAATACCCGATTCTGACCCAGACTGGCCCTGACCAATCATTTCATCAATCAAAATCAATCAAAATGTCAATCTGGGCAACTTACCCTCTGGTAATCAAACGTGGCAATGGACAATCCCTTATAAATGGAGGTTTATAGCCGGGAAAAACATATTCAAGGTGGTGACCCCCCCCTGAGTTGTAAGTTGGTTTATAACCACAGTAAGTATGTCAATATGCATATCTACCACAAACCATAGTCATTGGAGTTATTTGCACCAACTAAGCGATTTAGCTCACTGGAGCACCACCACGTTTGATGATCGAAGGGTTTTTCTGAGCCATTCGCCGGGTGGCTATATTGGCCTCCATGCGCATGTGCGTCAGGCTGACGAAATGAACGGCAGCCTGCCAGTCCTGAAACAAGGTGGGGACCACCACGGGACAACGATAGGCGACAAGTTGGAATATATATATATGTAGTATATATATATATGTATTATATATATATATATTATGTATATACATATATATTATGTGTATATATATATATATGTAACTCCAAGAACTAATGGTATGATATAACCTGTAGTCAATAGGATTTATATAGATCAACTATGATCAACTTATAATTTGGGGCGGCTGAGGTTTATCCAGCGGAGGCTGCTTAAGGGGTTTACATCAAAATAGCTGGTGACCGGGAAAGGGATGGTAAGTGGATGTTCATTCCCCTGAAAAATGGTAATTATGTATATATATATAATTATATAATGATGTATGTATAATTATGTATATATCATATGTATGTATGTACATATGGTGGTTGTTCTAAATTACTTTATCTGCAAAATGCCATTCTTCGTGAAAAAAACACGTTCGCGAATCTTTTGCGAACCCCACCTTTATCATGTGCGGGGATCTCATGTTAAAATCGTTCCCTAACTTTCCTGAAGTCAGGAAACAAAAACTTTCGCGGGGTCTAATGTTGGAACCCTGGCGGTCTTTGTAACCCATAGGATCCATGTATGGTATATATGCTAACATTTGGGGTATATTGATGGTAAATGTTACCATATATAGCATACATGGATCCTATGGGTAATGGACAATCTCTACATGGACCTTTAGATCGACAACCATATATTGATCTGTAGTGAATTGATTCGCTTCCGTGAAGATACGGGATTGAGACAAACTGCTTCATAAGGGAAGGATCTCTGCATTTCTGTTGGCTGAGATCAACATGGTCAAGCGTGTTGAAGAGACAAAACTAGCAGAAACACACAAGAACACCCAGAAATGCGAATAAATTCATGCTGGCCTGAGTCATTGAACGTTTATGTATCAACGGCAAGGGGATAATGATGGATAATATCTATCCCAAAGAAAAACATGAAGTGTTTCTCGGAATCTGTTGGAAACAGCATACATTTGAAACAACGTGGGTATCTGTTGGCATAAAGCAGCCACCCTGACCTGGGGAAGCGGGAAATGGAACATTTTCAACATCAGTAGGACATGTTTCCTGGTAAAAACTCTTAGTTTCCAACTTTCTATGTTGGCAAAATGGAGGATCATCGATTCAAAGATGGAGGTTTCAACATCTCAACAGGTCTGCCCAAATAGACAACGAAACAATGTTCAGGTCCCTCATTTCTAAACATGCCCCATCATGTGCCCCTTGAGACGCCAACTTCAGACCCAGACTCACTAGACATCTGACAGCTTGACATCTGCGCAGCAACCGCAGTGCTGCGAAGCGATTCCGGGAACGGCCGCAAGAGGGTCAAGAAAAGGCGCCTCGCTGATCGGCAGGGCGGCAGGAAAATAGTTCCGCCATGTTCCACCCAGGACCTGGGAATTCAAAAACCCGTGTCTACTGCATTTCAGGTATTCATATCCCATGACGGATCCATGGTGCTGGTTTTTCTATGCTAACAATCATAGGGGGTATATTGATGGGATCCATGGAGCACCATAAATAGCAGCACCATGGATCCTATGGGATATATAAAAGACGAAAGATATTCCCAAACTTAGCTGGTTGGTGGTGCAATAACCATCTTGAAAACTGTGCTCGTCACTTGGGATGATGACATTCCCAATATGTGGAAAGTCAAAAAAATCCATGGTTCCAAACCACCAAGCAGTAAAAGTCTGAAGAGCGCAAGAGAAGCATCACCGAAGCTCCGATGGGGATACCCATGTTTTGGATCCGAAGGGTTGGGAAAGATCACCCTATTTTTTCTAGCCAGAGGGGCTCAGCATCCTGGAAAAAAACAACATGACTTCTGCAACAGTTTGAGGTAGGGAACACCTTGAGTGCTGCTTGGAAATCAGTTTAAGACATGTTAAGAGATTTTAAGACATCATGTCTTATGTCTTTTATGTCTTAAGGTCATGATTTAGATGAGGGTCAACCGGTGCCTTTTGGGGGATTCCATTTGAGGTACACCGGTGCTTTTAAGGGCTCTTGCCGGTGGTCTCCTGCCACGTGCATGAGATGTGCATGAATGATTCAAAAGCTCCGAAGCTGTGGGAGTTTAGCAAATACCCTCTGGTAATTTAACATAGCTATTGAAACTGGCCATTGATAGTGCATTTTCCCATTAAAAATGATGAATTTCCATAGCTATGTTAATTTGCCAGAGGGTAAAATCTCAAACTCAGAAAAAAAGCAGATGGCCCATGGTTTTTCATGGAGAATGTTGAATTGGCCAGGTTTGTTTGCGAAAAGCCAACTTTCTTGCACACCACATCTTGGAGACTGGAAAACATGGATAAAAATGGTGTAATTGTTGGATACATCCAACATCATCCAACCAGGTTGTTGGCAAATCAACCCCCAACGAACACTTCTTCTCCGTAGTTCTCCATATAAATCCCCCATTGATCACATCTTCGAGACGGTCATCGGGAAATAAGATGTGGGCATCATCAGATATACATGGTACCCTCTGGTAAACTAACAGTTTGCGAACTGGAAAATGACCATAGAAATAGTTGATTTACCCATCAAAATGGTGGATCTTTCCATAGTTTTTTGTATGTTTACCAGAGGGTAATAATACCCCAAAATGATTATGGGTTAAGAGCCTGGTACCCAAATGGTACCCTAAGTTCTAGCTGGTCGATGGATGGTGAATTCCCCATAAAATATGATAGTAATAGGTTTTGACCCATCCACATATGCTAATTCCAATATGGTTATCAGAAGTTTCCGCATTACAAATTTGTGCGATATACCCCATGACACAGGCAAATTCTTCATATTGTCGATCAGTTGCCACAAAGTATCCCCATACTTATATCTCCATCAAATCCCAATTTGTACCTGGTTACCTCCAGGAATGAAACAGGACAAAAGGAACTTCCCTGTAAATGGAGGTTTTTTCGTTCGCTGGGACAATCATCGAACTAAATGGGGGCTCCGTCACCGTCAAGCCATGGAGCTGATTATTACTCTATTATTGTGCATATATCTTGATTGAAATTTGTAAATTCCTTGATAAATTTTCTTGGCTAATCATTAAATGCACCATGTGACTGCCATATCCAATGGCTTGAAATGGTATAAACACTGTCGATTCACATCCATTTAAGGGATCATAAATGATCATAATATCAGAAACATTCTCTTCATGGTGTGTCATCACTTGATTTTTCCATACTTTGATGGTGACAAAAAAATCCATGTTTCGATGGTCAAATCCCGTTCTTTTTCACTGTGAAGTCTTCGGAAACAGCGGTGAAATCCCAGCTGCCAAGTGCTTCTCCCCATGGCCCCCGCTACGCAGGCCACGTTGGGCACCACGCGCTGCAGCACCATGGTCTGCATGAGCTCGGCGGCGACAGGCCAGGCGGTGGTGGCGCTGCAAAGGGCGGAACTGAAGGTGATGAGATCCTGATTTTCCATGGGATTTTCATGGGATTTCCATGGGATTTTCATGGGATTTTCATGGGATTTTCATGGTCTTGGACAAGAAAAATATGGGGAAAATGATGGATTCAACAGATTTTTTAAAAGGATTTTGGATTGTTATAGGAAAAACAAGGCTCAACAATGACCCACCTCCAATAAACATTACCCCCCATAAACAACAAAACGTAACATGTTTGATGCGAATAAAATCATCAACAGCAAGAAACAAAGCTCGAACCATAACAAAACAAGGCAAACATTTGGAATCGGAACATTTAAGAAAAAAATAACAACCTAGAAACTGAACCCTGAACCCCCACTCCCTGAAACCCCCATTTATCAATTTTTCCCAGATATTTTCGCCATGAAGACAACTCCGTTTATGGGTGTGTCTGCAAATTGAACAAAAATCAGCAAATCACAATTTTTTGCATAAACCCTATGGATCCAAACACCTCCTGAGAAGGTACTTAACCCCCCAAATCATACCCCAAATGCTTCCTAAGAAGGTATTTGGATCCGGGCAAAGTATCTGAAAAAAAAACATCGGCATTTTCAGACACACCCAGTATGCATAGTACCCTCTGGTAAACTAACATAACTATGGAAAGATCCACCATTTTTAATGGGTAAATCTACTATTTCTATGGCCATGTTCTATGTCGCTTTTTGTTTGTTTACCAGGCCGGGTATGTCCATCTCAAGATGTGACAAATCATCCCCTCCATGGGCTTCACCAGAGGCTATGTCCATCCCCTCTATAAAAAGCCATGGTTCCGGTACCAAGTTACTGGTGCCGGTTCCATCAATTCCATCCCTCGAAGCAGCCGCAGCGCGTCTTCCCAGCGCTTGGCGGCATCGATGCAGCAGTTGAAGGTCACGGTGTCACAGCGAAGGCCCTGCTGACGCAACAGACCCTGCAGCTCCAGGGCCGTCGGCCAGTGGCCCTTAGACCGGGATGGGATGCAGGAGACGACATGGAGATATGGGATATGAATGGAAAAGATATGGACATATGAATGGAGATTTCCATGGATTTGATGGGTCATAATGGATATCATCACTATCAAATGGATGTGAATGGGAGAATTAAATCCATTGATGGATTGTTTATATCACTATCATTATATCACTATCATTATAATCCATTGGATATCATCTGTGAATGGGAGATTAAACACAAAACATATATCTATTTAAGGTGGTGTCTAAAAATTCACAGATTCACCGATTCACCTAGAAGATATGATGAGTCACTCTTTGTGCAACAAGTGAAGGGAGGGTCAGATCTACAGGAGATCTCACCAGTATAACTCAGTATATGAGGGATTTATGTAATATAATATATTTATATATTAACTATATTATATATATATATTTATTCTCTATTTAAGCACTTACCAATATGTGTGAATATCATGAGTATATTCCAGGACGAAACTGCCCAAAATCCCTGTCAGCTTCGTAGGAGAACACCAAGCCGAGGAACGAGCGCGCTGATTGCAGCGTTGAAAAGGACAACATCCATTTGTAGATTTGCCTGACACATTTCGCGGGACAACAGGTGAATCGGCGCGGATTGGGCGTGGATTGGGGAGCTGCCTCTGTAGGATGTTTCAGTGGCTTCGGTTTGAACATTTGGAGTCTTGAGGAAACATGTTCTTGGTTCATGAGTCCAACAGCACAGAGAATGCAGGGTTTCACTAAAAAAACAACAACAAAAACAGCAACAAAAACTGATAAAGAAACTTTTTTTTTCTGGTGATTCTTCGGGTTGTCTTTTGGTGATTCAGTTTTTGATTGTTTATGTTTTTTGTTTATTTGGCTAAAATCAACTTTCTCTGTTGAAGCCGGGGTCATAATTCTTGGTGAACAAATCCCAGTCTTACGTGAGTTCAACTCAGTTTTTTGGTGGTTAGATCACCAAAATCACCGAAATTGCTGTGCAAAATCCCCACAACTCTCACCGTTGAACCATCCTTATTTCCTGATTCTATCCCATCACCATCCTTATGGAAGGCATGTCATACCCCTAATCGCAAAAAAACAACGGTTTGTCTTGGTTAAATCCAACATGGTGGTCGTATTGGTTATGTAATAAGTCCTATGATCAATGCCAGGAAAATCCCATTCGCGAACCATTGTCAATCATTGTTAGTCTGGGTAAGGCTACAATGTGAGGCCCCCAAGATAGCGTTCAGTTGGTTTATAACTCCAATTTCACTATGGTTTATGGTACGCAAATAACTATAGTTACTGGGGCGAATCTAAACCAACGTTCACATCACTGGGGGGCCTCACATTGTAATTTTCCTTCGATTGCGCAATCGGTATGATATCGTATGGTGTAAAACGTTGGGCTCGTAGGACTGTCAGATGGGTTTATACAGTTATGGCCCGAAATACCAGTTATAAATACTTATAACCCCATTTATAGAATGTATAATCCCACTTATAACCAGTTATAACTGATAAATGGCCATAACTGTACAAACTCAACATTCCACTGTTTTCTCCAAGAAATCGTTAAATCCCATTATAACTCCCACTAATCCAATCTATGAACCTTTGGCTGTTTGCATAAAATCCCATTGAACAAATCATGATCCCATTACATCTAATGTATTCTAATTTATAAATCCCATCCTCCCAAGAGCCAAACCGGTTGGTGGTTGAGCCCTACCCCTCTGAAAAATATGCGAAAGTCAGTTGGGATGAAATGACATTCCCAATATGATGGGAAAGTCATAAAATTCCATGGTTCCAAATCCCAAGACCCAAACCATTCATCCATTGTTTTGATCCCTTTCTTTTTCTCCTTCGCTCCCAGAAAGGACTCGCCTTTTCGCTTACAAAGAGCGCCAGACTCGAGGCCCAGGTCGAGCGAGTCGAGCCGCAGATCTTCAGCAGCTTGCTGCAAGCGATGGAATCCTGGGCCGAGTCAAAGATCGGGGGAGAAATTAACCATATATGGCAGTGGGTCAAAACCTTGTACCCCTGTAGTTCACATCAAAATAGCTGGGATTTATGGATGTAAATGGATGTGAATAACCCTCTAACAATGGTATTAATAGGTATTGATTCATAGCCATATACGTAATATATGGGATAATATGGAGGTACTGGATATATGAATTATCAATATGGCATAATATGGTCATATTATAGAAGTATACATCTAATTCTATGGTGTACCCTCTGGTAAACTAACGTAACTATGGAAAATCATCATTTTTTCATAGGTCAATCAACGAATTCTATGGCAATGTTCGATAGCTATGTAACAAATTACCAGAGGGTACACCATACTGTGGGGTTTTAATATCCAAATTATTCCAAGTCATGTATGACCATGCCTTAAATAAATGAGACTTATTAATCGTATTATTGAAACCTGTGGTGACTTGGGATCCCCTATTATGGGGTTATACATGGTTCTACGGTTATACATGCCATATCATACCCAACAAAAACTACCATATTCATCCAGTTTCAGGATTGCTTTACCATGCGGATGGTTGCAAAACCCTGCACCATTATTTACAGTGCTTTATAATTTATAGTTACGAAATGTTGCAAATAGTTACCAACTTGTGCCGGATTGTGCATAGCATATTCAGGTTTCTCCCACTACCCTGATTACAAGGGGGGTGAAATGATGTAAATGGCTAGATGAAGAGGTAAAATGATCAACTATACCCCTCTGAGGGGGAATTATTTGCCAAAATCATTGGGTGGAGCGATATGATATATCCAACAAACACAGTCGGGTTGACAATGTCATAATACATGTTACATCTTTTGAATTGAATACATACCCTCTGGTAAACTAACAGTTTGCTATTGAAAATTGCCATAGAAATAGTGGATTTAACCACTAAATATGGTGATTTTCCCTAGTTATGTTAGTTTACCAGAGGGTGAGTATACAGTATACAGTATACCAGATTGTGTCCAGGAAAAATGAGGAGAACCTCAAATCACCCAGAAAGACGTGGCGTTTCTGGTGTCATCAAAGTGAACGGGGCATCATAGGGGGTGGCGAACTATGGTCCGTTCACCCCACGTGCAAGTGGGGCATGCAAATCATCAGATTCACCTATACCCAAACTCAAAAAAGGAGATGCACCCCATCAGCCTGTCAGCTATCCAGAACAGCGATTTCAAGCCATGATGTGATCAACAACCAGGGCCCACATGTTGTAAACTGATCCTGTAGAATCATTCCAAGAAAAGGCCCCTTTCACGTCTAGTTGAGGCATGACATATACTCCTGTTATCTTCTATTACATCCCATAAAGACTTCTTGGATCTGGTTGGTTCTGGTGGGCATCCATATTGTGGGCTATAATGATCACGTATGAATACATATGATCACCAAAAAAAACATCAATATTCCAGGTAGTACAACCCTCAAGCCCCCATTTCATAATCAATCAACCGTCATTTACCCACCAAAAATCCCCGTGTTTAGTATGTTTAGTGCTTGAGGTTCCACATGATGGTGAAATCGCCATGTCGTCACCAATCACCAGGTTTTTTCTTCACGTGTCCAGGCAAACATCATCCAAAAGAGCCAGGGCTTGGTGCCATTGATCGCCCTTCTCCTCGGAGACACGGGATACCCGATACGAGCTGGATGCTTCATACTGGTTCATACTGGTTATCATGGTTTATCATGGTTTATAATGGTTTACAAGGGTTTATCATGGTTTATAAGGGATTATAATGGTTTATAAGCCTTTATCATGCTTTATCATGGTTTGTAATGGTTTATAAGCCTTTATCATGCTTTATCATGGATTATAATGGTTCATACTGGTTTATTTCATGGAAACTCCGAAAAAAATGGTTGATTTCAGGGTACCCCCAATGGATTGGAAACCTCCAAATTCATCGAACAGAGATGTTTCTTGATAGTTTTATTTCCATCAAGGATCAATCACAGAAATAAGACCTCCGGAATTCAGAGGCTCCATCAATAGATACTGGGTAGTGGGAAAAACATCCCAAGAGAGACCAAAAGTGCACAGTCCTTTGACATGGAGCTAGCTTTGAGAGGGCCATGATCCGCCATGTAATTTAAAGCCATGAATTTGACACCCACCAGGTACGAGGAACCATGATCCGCCAGCTCATCCATGGTCATACCTACACCACTGATGAATGTTACACTACCCATATGCTGGTGCTGGTATATTTACCTACATAACTGGGTGATTTTTAGGGTAAATGTTGGTAAATATTCCAGCACCATGGAGCATTTGGGCTATATTACACTGACCTTTTCGAAATCCATTTTGTGGCTTTCAAAGATTATATATTTAAAAAAGACCCTCGGTAAGTAAGTCGAAGCTAGAAATGTAAAACACCAACGTTCAACATGTTCAACAGACATGGGGGGCGCAAGCATCACCTAAACATTATGGGATCGTCTGAAAATAGGGTACCCAAAATTTAGGAGGTAATGATGATGTTCGCACTAAATGCCAATAATTGGGCTATACCCCATTTTCAGACAAACCTTTGGAAGTCCCTTCAGACTTGCACAGCCAAAATCTGCCATGCAAAGCCAGGTGGTCGTGAGCACCTAGTGCTGCGGTGTAGGAGATAAGGTCCCATTCGATATTTCTGCAATGAGCCTCCTGGCAAGTCACCACATGGATGTCCCACGGAAGAGTCGGATGGGATACTGGGATGTGTATATATATATATATGTTATATGTACATATGTATATATAATTATATATATATAATGTATATACACACCTTCGTTTTATCACCGTTCCAGCCTAAAATCATAGTTCTGGATAGTGCAATCAACTGACAAAGGAATGGGTTCCAACGATTTCTCCCACAACAATGGAACTTGGTCTGGCAATGAGGACAGTCATGCTGAATAGATGGGTTCATAGATGGCTAAGAAGGCTCACCTGAAAACTAAGAACCCAAAGATATCCAAACCCATGACGGATCCATGGTGCTGGTATATATATATGCTAACATAAATGGGATACTGTATATTGATGGGATCCATGGAGCACCATATATAGCAGCACCATGGATCCGTCATGGGAAACCTCCAGTTTCCCATAAGAAATCCATGTTCCAACGCCCATTCGGGACGACAGGTCGCCGGGATCGTACCCACCTGAAATTCATCCGGGACCAATACGCAAGCGGCTTGACAAACCGAACCGTGAAAACAAATGGGATGGTTACCCCAATTTTGCCGAACTCATTACATAACTGGTTGGTGGTATACCTACACCTCTGAAAAATGATTGAGTTCGTCAGTTGGGAGTATGACATTCCCAATATATGGAAAAAATGATGTTCCAAACCACCTACCAGATAAACATGACCGTAACGAAATACTATTTTTTACAACTGGGTTTACCCCACGAATTCCATTAGTATTCCATATAACATGTTGCAACCCCACTGTTACTCAACAAAAAAACATGGCAATTTTCATTTTTTCTTTCGGCCTCCAACAAGCGGATGGACTTGCGCCATGCCTCCTGGCACGTGCCTCGAGAAGCTGACAGTGACCCAGTGACCCTAGCTGAGATTGGTTATACAGAATCATATTTACCCTCTGGTAATTTAATATAGCTATTGAAAATGGCCATTTATAGTTGATTTACCCATTTACCCTTGAAAAATGGTGATTTTCCATAGTTATGTTAGTTTACCGGAGGGTAGAACATCTTAGAACAATTATCATTTGTCTATCATTAACGGAATATCCAGTTTCGGTTCAGCTGATTTATAAATGATATTGGTAATTTCTCTGGCTAAACAGTAGCATAGTCATCATTTCTGAAATTTACTAATCATAGTTGAGATAATTATTGACTGTCCACGCTACAACATATTATAGTAATTTATAGTACATATGCTGGTTGGTAGTTTCAACCCTCTGAAGAATATTAGTCAATGGGAAGGATTATCCCATATATTATGGAAAATAAGCAATGTTTGAAACCACCAACCAGGATTTGTCAATGATTGATCTGGATAAATCATGGTAAATGATATGTAATTATTCACTTATGAGATATGTCAATTTGGGAATATTTACCCCTAGTCTTCATCATGGCAGCCAGGTCGCAGTGAGGGCGTTTTTTAATGTTTCCAGAATGAAATGGGTTTATGATCAAACAACTTTAGATCGCATGAGTTGATGGAAATGAATTTCCTACAGCAGTAAAACATATATAGTCCCAATTCAATGAATTAATTTAAAGGAACATAAACACATGAAACCATGTTTTTTACTCAAAATTGTGTGGGGTCTCGAGCAGATTTACCCTTCATCAATTTCTTGGATTATAGGAATTAAATTCGGGTTCATCATCAAGCATATGGTGACATAGTTTTTAAATGATGGTTGGCTAATTGTTGCGTCGTGGTGACTAGTGAAATCCTATCAACATCGAGAGGTTCCTGAACATGCTGGAAAACCCTGAAAATTTGGTGGCTAACCATGATGTTCCTTGATATTCGATAGCCATTTGGCGGGGGGGAAATACCCAATTTTTCGCTTTGCGCACAAGTGCGATGTAGCCATTTTGCTATAAAATCTTGAACATCCAGTGGCACAAGTCTCTTATGCTTGGACCGTTACTGAAAAATTGGGGAGTAGGGGGACTGTGCTTCATCACAGCTAGGACCATTGGAGGAATTCTTGGCAGGAAGCCGCCATGATATACCTTGAGAACCAAAACCCGCAGAAAGCCTAGGGTATCACAAATAACCAGGGTTTTCCGACAAAACCCGAGGTATTTTTACCCATTCTGAAAGTCCGGGTTAGGTGCGGGTTAGGTACGGGATGGTACGGGTTAGAGTATAGCTTGAAAATCAATACCCGAGGTCTTCAATCGAAAACCAAGGGTTTTTCTGATATGTTTTTCTGAAACACCTCAGGTTCATCAAAATTGACCCTTGGTGAATTCTTAGGCTTTGGGTGCTCCAGGTACATCAAGCAATTACTGCAGAAATTGCCCATCTCCAAGTCATGGCGGAATTTTCTGCGGAAGGGGCGCGGATTCGGATGCCTGTTCTATAATTTAATAAACGGCTGTTCTATAATTGATTACATGCATACTCTTCCTGGCGAAATCCACAATGTGCTTATAGCACACAAAAAAATCTAGAACACGCAATGATAGAACAGAGTTGGTAAAGGTGAGAAGTATGGGGGAAACCGCAATTATGGAACACAACCAGAGCCAACAAGAATTATAGAACAAAAAATTGAGTTGTTTTTTTTCCCCAGCTTCCTGAGGAATCTGGAATTTTGGAACCAGAGGGTACGGTATTTTACCGCACTTTCGTACTCAACTTCCGTTCTACAACTTTGGCAACATATCTTAAGGGCTGCAATTTTTTTTGGGTTTTTTTTCCCTTTTTTTTTGGTGTTGTTTTTCCCGTTTTTTGGGGTTTGATGGTTTTGATTGGTATTTGCAGCGTTTTGCAGCTAAGCTCTCTGATTTGCATGGTGTTGTTGTTGTTGTTGTTGTGGTTGGATGGATGGATGGATGGATGGTTGGTTGGTTGGTTGGTTAGTTAGTTGGTTGGTTGGTTGTTGGTTGGTTGGTTGGTTGCTTGCTTGGTTGGTTGTTGTTGTTGTTCTTCTTGTGTTGGTTGGTTGTTGTTGGTTGTTGTTGTTGTTGTGGTTGGTGGTTGGGTTGTGTTGGTGGTGGTGTGGTTGTGGTTGTGGTTGTGGTTGTGGTGGTGGTGGTTGTTGTTGTTGTTGTGGTTGGTTGGGTTGTTGGTTGTTGGTTGTTGGTTGTTGGTTGTTGGTTGTTGGTTGTTGGTTGTTGGTTGTTGGTTGGTTGGTTGATTGTTGTTGTTGGTTGTTGGTTGTTGGTTGTTGGTTGTTGGTTGTTGGTTGTTGTTGTTGTTGTTGTTGTTGTTGTTTGTTGGTTGTTTGTTGGTTGGTTGTTGTTGTTGTTGTTGTTGGTTGTTGGTTGTTGGTTGTTGGTTGTTGGTTGTTGGTTGTTGGTTGTTGGTTGTTGGTTGTTGGTTGTTGGTTGTTGGTTGTTGGTTGTTGGTTGTTGGTTGTTGGTTGTTGTTGTTGTTGTTGTTGTTGGTTGTTGGTTGTTGGTTGTTGTTGTTGTTGTTGTTGTTGTTTGGTTGGTGTTGTTGGTTGTTGTTCTTGTTCCTTCCTTCCTTCCTTCCTTCATTCCTTCCTTCCTTCCTTCCTTCCTTCCTTCCTCGCACCTTCCTTCCACCAGAAAACGGGAAAAAATCCCAAAAAAAAACGGGAAACAATCCAAAAAAAAATAGCCCTCCTATATCTTAAGCAAGTTCATTATCCCCAATTATATCAATTAATATATATGGGTTACCCATTTACATCCACTTACTAGTTGGGATGCCCTGACAGTACCAGCAGTGGTATATCCTCACCGGGCCACCACTGAGCGTGTTGTAGCTGATGATGTCGCACTCGACCTGCTGCATTTGGCTTCTCTGCAGCAAGTGCACTGCGCCACTCCACTGCCTGCCATTTCGGAGGCTGGGGCCGGATTTCACAGACTTACTATAGAAAGTACTAAGACTAAGAGGATCTAAGAGGTGGAACTTGAATGAACTATAAGTTTCGAAATTGTATGAAATTATGATATTTCACCTTGAAATATGTAAGGATTCCAGCGTAAAAAACAATGGTATGTTTCCTGAATTGGATGAATTTGGCCCACAGATGTGGTATAGGACAATCAAGACAGCCACTCTGCAGGTGTGATGGTTACCCATCATCTACAAAGTGGGCATCCAAACTGTGAACCATTCTTGCCTTTTTCACAAAAGGTTTTCCAACAACATTCTCAGGCATCTTGAGAATTTTGAGTGGAGTGGTTGGCTTCCAACCATGCATTCTCCAGAAGACATCCGAAATCTAACTTCCGTTTATACTCCACAGCGGGAAGACAAAATGGGTTTGCCGTAACAGGGTACCTCTAAATCCATTGGTGAACCATATTTAATTATCCCTCTTTATATATAAACATGCCATAGATTTTGAATGGGAGTATGGGTATAATAACCATTCTTCACACTATGAATGGTGCAACTGCACTTGGGATTTGCGGCCACATCATGGCTTTCTATGCCATCCGTATCTTTTGCAGTCCAGTTGCAGCTGTCTTCGGCATTCACGTATTGCCTCTATGGATGAGACAACTCACACTGGAAACCATGGGTTTTTCACCACGAAAACGGGGGGCTTCCGGTAGATTTTCCCACACACCAATTCAGGCACCGATCGATTGTTCAAATTTGTTCACATGATTTCTGACATGGTCAAACCAAGCGCCGGGATCAGAATGCTACCAATAGATTCATTCATGTCTATATATTGCCACTTGAAACCACCAGCATCCATTAACCACCTTGGAATTCTCGGAGATATGGGTGAAGCTGAACATGGTGTTTTACCCTCTGATAAACTAACAGTTTGCGAACTGGAAAATGGCCCTGTCGAAATAGTTGATATACCCATTAATAGCATGGTGGATCTTTCCATAGTTGTATGTTTACCAGAGGTGTGACTAGAGCATACGTTTCAAATTTAGTTAAGATATACCCATTAAAAATGGTGGATCTTTCCATAGTTGTTTGTATGTTTACCAGGCCAGGTATCTGCAAAAATGTCACTTTCAACTCCGGGAGGTGTTTTTTTTTAAGAATGTCACTTTCACCCTTGAAAAATCCGGTCGTTTTCCCAAGACTTTGACGGTTGATCAAATCACTGTCCCATCCATTTTCCCATGCCCATGGGATCCATGGTGCTGGTATATATGCTAACATTTGGGGTATATTGATGGTACATGGATCCTATGGGATGTAAATGGCAAGGCAAATTAAAAAAAGTTGCGCATCCCCTATATGTTTTCACGTTAAACCACCCGCAACTTCTCACATCGCCGGATGTCTACCTTGTTGCACGCGACCACTCCAGGTGCTCCGGGCTGCTTGGACATTTGAGCCCAACAGCTATGGAGAAATGTACTGCAGTTTTGCAGCCCTAAAGCCAGTTATTTTTGTTATTTTTCTCGTTATACAATATTATATATATATATGTATATATATATGATATATATATATATGTATACATATATGTATATACATATATATATATATACATATTAAATGGGGTGATCATAAACCATAAATGGGGATATTTCAATCACTTATATATAACTGGCAAACTGTGCGGGACTGCGTGTGAGTGTGTGTGTAATTATATGTATATATATATACATAAAATATATATATATTATATATACACGTTATATTATAATTCAAACAGTTATATAGATACACTATAAAATACCAACACTAGCTTTCAATGGCCATCCCAAACGTTGATCGTCATCCCAAAGGTGAAAAATGACAAGCAGCCAGGAACGCAGCCAGAAGTGAAGAAAATAAAAGGTGAAAGTGAAACTGGTTGGTGGTTTTAACCATCTTGAAAAATATGAAAGTCAATGGGAAGGATGACATCCCATATATGAAACCACCAGGAACAAAACTGGGTGACCATATTTTTGGATCCCCTCCTCTAAACTATAAGTTACCACAATGTAGATCATGTTCCGAATGAACCAAGGATTTGATCTTTTCGCATGGTTACCTCAACGCACAGAAAATTCTCACCTGCGGACTGCTGTGCAACAGCGATAAGGCATGCGCGGTGACGCAAAGGTCTCCGAAATTGCTAGGGCCTGGGCTGCCACCAGGGCGTGATGAATGGGCAATCACCACTTCCTTTCTGGCCATCAATTGTCATTGTCATTAATTATCATAATTATCCCCATGTTTCGTGATTAAAACCTATAAACCACTGTGAAAGCATCATGAACAAATCCTAGATGTGCATCCTACGCATCGTTTACGTGGTTTATCACCCGTTTTCTGGTGTGATATCCCAGATGTAACTGGGCTACAGTGGGCTGCACTTCCGAGGAGTGCAACCCAACCACAATCAGTATCTGTCACTTGCTGTGTGAGGCTTTGATTTCTTGAGGGGGAGCCAGCCAGTGATTTCTCTCCCCTGGAAGATAGCAACTTCCTGCAGCAGCGTGCCCCATTGAGTTTCTTCATGTTCTTGAAAATGTGTAAGAGCCGAATGTATTACTTAATTGTGACGGACGCACTAGGCCCAGAACACCTGCACCATCCTCCAGCACTTTACAAATGGCTTTGAATTGTAGAATACATATGAATACATAGCAAGTCAAATCAAGTCAAGTCATAGCTTTAAACACCAACATAATACTATAGAAGATTGCTTTCGACGCCCCCTCCCCATGCTATCACTTGGTCTGAGGTCCTTCATCGCTCTTCTCACTCACATCGCCTACCATTGGGTGAGGTCAAATGTGGGATGGAACCAATCTATGAATGTGTACAGAGACGCTATTGGATGATCTTACAATATCTTACATGTGTGTAAAAAGGACCCCAAAGAAACCTTTGTCATTGGACACGCTGACAGAAACACACAAAAAAATCAACGAGGACCTACCTCCGGTAATCATCCAGGATTTTTTCAGACGGATTTCATCACATGATTCCGTCCTGTACCTTTTTTAGAACAATCCTCTTGAACAACGGTGTTCTGTACTTGGAAGTGCAGTTCCAGTTTTAAGTGGATGTAAAACTAGATATCATTATTATATAATATTATATATCTATAATTAATCCCTAGGGGTTAAATCCCAACTTATAGGGGTTTAGACTTATTACTTTTATAACTGGTTTGTAGCCATGTGTAGCCTCAACTGCACCCCCAGGTAGGTGCTCATGTTCCATTGCAACTCACTGATGATCCATACATGCTTGTGAATGGGGAACAACTCGTAAAACGAATAGATTGTCCTCCAGTGAATTGGCATAGAGACTGCCAAACAGTGGTTTGGAAGATGAGCGTCCAATCTTCCACTAACATTGAACATATTCAGGGTTTATGTTATATACTGTAATTGGGGGTATGGTATGTCTGACTCACTTCAGTTTAGTTCTCCGTTTCATGATTTAATTAAAATTTAATGGGTCAACATCTCGTGTCATCACTCCATAATCAGAATGCACCATCTTGGGATCTGCAAATCAAATCAACCCTCGAGGCTCACCAGAAAACCACCTCGGAAGTCACGGTTTCCAACCATACATCATCAAAAAAAACAAACATCTTGACCATCTGACCATCTCCAGCTTTTTTCACTTGAAAGTTGACATCAAGATACATCAAGAAGAAATTCCCAGCCTGGCCCATCCCATCATCCCCACCCCATGGCATGGCGCCATGGTGCCCACAGAGGCCTCCGATGGTCCACAGCTCGGTGCCGCCTTTGAGCACCAGCTGATGCAGCAGCTCCATCAGTTCCTGTCGCGGCTGAACTTTACAGGTGACCTCAGCAGCGACAGCTGTGGTGACCGTGATAGGAAAAAACCTATAGGATTTGTTTTAAGCATGTTTAAGCCACCAAAAAAAAAAGGGGGTGGTTTCAGATGGTAAGGAAAACATGTTGGTATGATGTGGACATGAACCATCAATATTTAAACTTATTCAACAAAAGCCGGGATTTAACCATCAATCGGGTGATTATCTAGGTTTCATGGCGCTGATTACGCTGATTGGTGCTGGACTCGGGGATTTCAGGGAACATTGCTGGAAAAAAAACATATAATATAGCCTAAGGTTATTTGACGTATACAACTACGGAAAATCACCATTATTTATAGATAAATCTTTATAATTAATCATGAGCCATAATGTATAAATGATATTCTTATCGGCCATATCCCAATATTTTCCATATATCACAGCTGGTTTCAACCCCTCTGAAAAAATATGAAAGTCAGTTGGGATGAATATTCCCAATATATGGAAAGTTCTTTAAATTCCATGGTTCCAAAGCACCAACCAGTCATAGCTATGTCAATATAACCAGAGGGTTTTTCAGCAGCACATGACATCGCCGACCCTGAAGGCCTCACGATTCATGGCTCGGGAATCTCTGAATGATTCATGGCCTGTATTTTTTTTAGCAGCAAAACAAAGAACAGACATGGGGAGTTAAACCCATATGTTAAACATTGTTAAACATTGTTAAATCACAAACCTTCTTGGTGAACTTGTCCAAGAATGAGGTCAACTCTCATTTTTTAGACTGTTGCTAGTCATATTTTTGGTCGAGCAACAAGGACACTAAGCAGATCTGCAAGAGTCTCAGTGGACAAAATGCTCTCGCCGCTCAATTCGTCCGCATCGCCTGTTGAAATCCCATGGTGATTCTTGGGACTTTACTACACTTGAAAACGACTACTACAACAACAACAGCAACAACCACCACAACAACAACAACCTGTCAAACTTCAAATTACCTTGTTCAGTGTTCAGTGCTTATACAACATACATCAACAAAGATCTTGGCTGCAGATCTTGTTCCAGCCATTTCCAGCCCCCCTCTGATTGATATCCCGTTGTCCCGTTGGCTTAACCTATAAACTTCATCTCCATTCAGCTTGCTTGTTGGCCTACACTTTCCAGTGCTGCTCATAGACTGGTTCAAATCCTCAATTGTTGAAGGTGATATAGGCGATATTTTGCATCTTATGTGCAACAATATATGGTGTTGTCTGAGGGTGATATCAGTGATGTTCTGTCAAATTAGTTAAGCTACAATAGATACTTTTGGTCTATGACAATGAGGGTGTCGATTTCAAAGTAGCAACTGGTCACTATTGTGCATATGGTACCTAATCACATATTTCCCCTAGGGTTTATAAATACCGTGGTTTCACATTGGGCTTGTCTAAAAATTCTGTACCCCCAACATCATGATTGATCATCATGTTTCCCGGTTGTCAATAGCATACATGCGGGAAACAGATTAGTAAGCCACCCCCCCATATACCTGATTCTATCGAATTCTAGGACTTGGGGGATACTAAACACTATTGAAATATACATATTGATGGGTCTTTGATATTAAACCCTACAAATTTCATTTTACTTTTCAATGGGATAACTATACCATATCGTACATACCATATGATACTCAATGGGTGGCGGGTTAATTAACCATCCAAAATGCAGGCAACCAAATAGGTGTAGTTCACCAATCTTTGTGGCTAGAAGATGGTCAATACACATACCATCTGCTCATTTAACGCTATGGAAGCCATGGCCCATTCCTGATAATTAAACCTGATGAATGATTTACCTCTAAAAATGGATTGTCAATAATTAGCTTTGGCAAATTATGCATACGGTAATTTTGCATGCTTGTCGATGATAATTTCATGATATTTCATGAAATATCAAAAACATGATGATTCACCGAAAATTGTGATTTTCAATAGCTATGATTATTATTCACAAAATTTTCAGTGAATGATCAACGATTTTCTTTGTAGATGATAAACATGATGGTTCACCAAAAACTGTGATTTTCAATAGCTATGATTAGATGATAAACATGATGATGCACCGAAAATTGTGATTTTCAATAGCTATGTTACAAATGACCAGCGACTATTCCTTAATCAAAATCTGGGTAAATCGAACAGGAAAACCGACCATCCACTCGTTCTGGCCTGACAGGAGACTATCGGCCAGAACCTCCTTGCCGAAGCGTGCAACAACATAGGGAAAACGCCAAGTGTCGAACAACCTGCCATACTGCGTATTCTGCAACAACTATCAAGGAAACTGTCATGTGTTGCTATGGAAATTTCCACGGGAAATGTGAATAAAATGAAGGGGCGTTTTTTGTTTTTGTTTTTCCCACCGTTAAAGACTTCTATAAGTAGAGTATGTATCTCAGTGGGAAGATTGCTTCGTGTAACCCATGACAACCATGAGCCTGGCATTGCGAAAGTGATATATTCAACAATGCAATGGGCAGAATCTCCTCAGCATCAATCTTCAAACATGTTAAACCGTGACCTGTGATTCTAGTGGAAAGCACCTTTTCTATCCTTTTCTAGTATTTTCCCACCAACAAATCATCTATCCATATCCACCTGCGCACAGAGCGCCCCACCGATCCAAAAGGAGTGACCTCCAATGGGGAACTCAAGGCGTCCAGCATTTCCATGTCCATCTGCACTTGTCTCGCGCCGCAAATGGAGATCATTAGCCGCGCACAATGCCTGCAGTGAACCACTTGGCGGAGCTTCTAGGAAACTGCTCCACCATGGTCTAGTAAAATAGAATTGGATACATGAGGCCCGGACACTGTTGTATGATCTCTGCTCACCATTTGTGAAGATGTGAAGATACTCTCCGATAATTTGATATAGCTACAGGAAAATGACCAGGTTTAATAGGGATTCATCATCGGGCCATGGTTTCCATGGCTTTCATAGCAACAAATTGCCAGAGGGTGCTGTGAAGTCTCTTGCAGCCTGCAGTACCCTAGCAGTGAGACAGCTACAAGGTGCTGCCCCCCCCAGTTACAAGTTGGTTTAAAATCCCACTAACTATAGATATATCTACCATAAGTCCTAGTTATTAGAGTTAGAGCTATCTTGGGGGGCCCCACTTTGTATGGTTGAATCTTCTTCGTTGCTGTTCCAAATCTGGATTCATCTTTGCTCTTAGGACCGAAGGATCCGAAGGCAGGCTACACATGTGGGGAGAAACGCTTGCAGCAATAGCTTGCAACAGTCAACCGACTAAATGGGAAAGCAATTGATGGCACAAAACGGCACAAAAATGTTGAAGGTGGTTTTCAGTGGGTAAACTGATGCAGCAAACTTGGTCTTAATGGTTGTTCTCATCCAACTCGGTTTTTCTATGTTTTTCTCCAATCCTAAAGAGGTGCCCAGGCATGCGCCAAGATACTCTGCAAGTTCATACTGCACTCCTTCGCGGCCCCTCAACTGCAGTAAAGGCAGAACAAACCTGCAATTTTTGCGGCATGATGAACTCTGTGGATCAGGAACCCCGAGGTGCATCGCTCGCAAGGACTACAATACAGTAGAATCAGTAGATAGAAAACAGGAGAAAAGGCAGATCTAATGATTTGGAATTGACCGAATTAGATGCAAAAAACAAACACCGGCTAAACTGAAGTGGAAGCCACTGGTGTGCTTCCATGCAACCCCAATTTTTTGGACTTGAACCACTGCCTAGGCGGCAAACCACAGACGGGTCAAACCCAAAATATATCCAAATCCATCGTGCCAGCAAGTTTTCTATCATGTTCCCTTCTAAAATCTATCAAAGCTTGCTGTATTATTCGGGATGCTGCAGCACTGCTGCTCATGTTCTGAAAAAACTTCCCTTCCGGATGTTCCCTGCTCCAATCATCCGCCCGCAGGGAGCCGCTGGTTCTGCAAGATCTCCGCGCGCTTTCGCGCACGCATGAGCCACAGCAGGTCAGGCAGCAAGCGCTTGCGAAGGGTGCGGTACGCTTCGGGCCCCTCACCTAGGGCGGTTGTGAGTTCAACTGGGGATGAGGCCAAGGAAAAGCGAGAAAAAAACGGGATGTGGCCAGTAAAAATTAAGTGTGAGATGATTTTTCATGATTTAAGCTAGTAAAGGAGGATGTGACTGGAGGCAAATTTGTATCATGATTCCAAATAACACTACATGGACATTGGGAACTGATCAGTAATGGAAAAAACATCGGCAAGTAGGTAAGCAAAGCTAAGGGATTGTGTCAAACACTGGGCGCTAATCCCATGTTGAAATCAACAGTGCCACACCATGGGGGAGAGTCATCCCACTGATCCCGGCGATCCCAAGATCATGTGGGATGCTTTTAAGTTGACGCCCCTTTCAAAGGCTTCAGGTGGCCGATTTCAAAAAAAAAATGAGTATGTCTATGAATATTGGTGACATACAAAAGCTCATGTTATTACTTTGTGAAAGCTTTGTGAAAAGGCTCGTAACGCCATCTAAAGCCTTCAGACTTCAATATGAACAAAAACCTGATTGAACTTCTCTTTAAGCAGCAAAATCATCAAAATACCCTCTGGTAAACTAACATAGCTATGAAAAATCACCATTTTTAATGGGTAAATCCACTATAAATGGCCATTTTCAATAGCCATGTTAAATTACCAGAGGGTAGTTGGATTCCACTCAGAGTGCCAGATCTTTCACCCTCTCCATGGGGTTCCGCCCCATATAGGGCGAAGTGCAAGAGCGCAGAGCGGCGGCGAAGCACAGCACATAGGGTAGCAGCGCATGTCGCTCAAGGGAAGCAATGCCTCGGTGCATCACTCGATATATGGGGAAAAAACACATGAAATCTGGAAAACATGTTGAAAAAATAACATGTTGAAAACTTAAGAGAAAACCTGTCATGAATGGGAAACACGAATCTATTCATCTATTCCGAAACATATTTAAACAAATCTTCTATATATAAGTTTCGACCTCCAAATAAAGGGGGGTCCTGTAGGCTTTCCCTCAGGTGGTTTTTCGTACGCTGGAAGATCTAGCGAGTTTGAGATCTTTGCCATAGCCCATAATTGGGTAAAAAACAACTTTGCTAAATATAGGGCACCATTTTGTATAATTGTTGTTAGTACATTCTTACGCGTTCCTACAAGTCCTGCATTGTTGGTGCTCTTTGCCAACTGCCTCACATTTTGCTTATTGTGGGGCCATACTTGCCTCACCTTGTCATCTAACGGTATGAGAACCAGGTATTGAGCAGTTGGTAAGTTCATATCCCACCCCACCTTCGGGTAATCAAAGAAGGCATGAACAATCCCAATCTCATATCATTGGTAGTTTGCTGATGTATGTTTGGTTATATAAACACCTTTTTGTTGGACACATTTTGTCGGTTCCACCGCTACACCAGTTTTTAGCCCACCCTTGGATCTGGCCACCTCTCAAACAAAGTTTCAACAAAGTTCCTTTGCTGACTTGTTGAGGACCTTAGAGTTGGTTGCTGATGTTGCTCAAGATACGCTTTGCCAAAGTTTCCTGAAAGTCAAGCTGTAGATCACCCGTCAGCAAACGTTGTGGAAAGAAACACAGCTGCGAAATCCTGGGGATTCCGTCTGGCCCAACTGGAAGATCTGGATGTCCGGAGTTTGGAAGGGTCATGAAGGGTCATTCATCCATGATTTTGAAAAAATCAATGGAATTACCCGTAGGATCCATGGTGCTGGTATATATGCTAACATAAATTGGGTATATTGATGGGATCCATGTTACCATATATAGCATGCATGGATCCTATGGAATTAAATGATTATTTTAAGAAGCGACAGATGGTCAAACTTTCTCTTGGACCATATTCATTTCGACAATTCAACACCATATTCACATCTTCACCTGGCGATCCCTTCAACATGTTGTTTTACCTCTGAACCCCTGGGCAACACATCATATGTTGCTGGAGAAATTGGGAAACATGTCCCTCTTTTGAAGCCCATGTTTCATATGCATTGATCGGACACATCACCTTAGCTCCCACCCTGGGTCAAGCTTTGATGCCCATGCTTTTTCGCTGGTAAATATTCAGGAGTAGATAGAATACGAAAATGTCAAACATCCTCACTAAAGAGAGAATATCTTTGAACAGGATGATGATATATATATATATACATACCAACATCTGTGGCAAAGAATTCAACTATGAAGATACCCAATGAAGTCTACCCAAAACCACTTTTCATTGTCATACAGATATACAATGATATACACTTTTCACCGCAAGTTTTGATGATTATAGTCTAGTATACCTGTTGGTTGGTATGGTCTCAAAATGTCCCGGCCAAATCCTTACGGTTTGTCATGAGTTTCTCCGCAAAGATCTGTTCAATCAACAGTCTATCCAACAATCAATATCATCGGTGAACATCCATTAAAGATTTTATCCATTGATATGGGTATGGGTCAATACCTATAGATACATTTTTAGTGGGATGAACATCCATTTACCAGCTATTTTGGGGTTCACTAGGTACCAGGGTTTTGACCCATCCACATATATTCATGGGATTCGGATGTTGTTCAACACTTCCATATTTCCATTTCCAGCCCAAGTCATGGAGGTTTCCGAAGTCATAGGGCTACCCCAAATCAGAAATCATGGAGTCGTCATGGATGACCATTACTTAGTATTGTAGTTGCCGCAGTTTTGGAGTCTCTCCATGTCATGGCCAATCAGCCAGATACCCTGCAAAAAAAACATATATCTTATTTGGCGAACGTAGATAATCCCATACTAAAAGACTAGTTAGGATTGGTTTCTACCCATCTAAGATTGACCATAGACTCTATATATCCCCAATATGAACCCTGGATGTTAGGAACCCCCCTAGGCATCTCCAAGGTGTCCAAGGGTCTCTGCCAAGGTCGCGGCGTCGCCGCTAGGGAGGACCTGAGGAGGACCTCTTTGGATTACCGGGGGAATCAGCCATTTTTCATAGGGTAAATCATCATAATCATAAGGTATACATGATATTTTTATGGGCCTGGTTAACATATCTCCAATATTTCCATATAATTTCCATATATATTCATATATGGTTGGTTAACATAGAAATGTTGATAACATATCTCTAATGATGTTGTTATAACTGATGAAACCAATTCAACATATATCTGGTTGGTGGTGCAATGACCATCTTGAATAACAATATATGCTAATTGATCACTGATCTAATTGGTAGATTTTTCAAACTAGCAATCTGAAAACATGATGGTCACTGGCAATATGTCATGGACAACTGTTAACTAATTGGTTATATATATATACAGAGTATGGGGAATCAGGCCCGCTAAGGTTTGCGAAGCCTCAAAGCTGCAAAGCCTCTGTATACATATATATATATGGTTGGTTAACATAGAAATGTTGTTAACATATCTCTAATGTTTTGTTTTAACTGATGAAACCAATTCAACATATATCTGGTTGGTGGTGCAATGACCATCTTGAATAACAATATATGCTCATTGGTCACTGATCTACTTGGTAGTTTTTCAAATTAGCAATCTGGCAACATGATGGTCACTGTCAATATGTCATGGACAACTGTTAACCAATTGGTTATAATGCGGGCTACCCTGGGTAAAATCACTAGGGTGACCCCCCAAAATAATTTTTCAGAATTATTCTGAGGTGCTTCAGTACATAACCCACTACAAAATATTTTTTCCAAAACACTCTAACCATCCCAAAATAATATCCTTTATCACTACCCACCTCCTCAAAATAATTTCTGAAAATTTGCAAATAAATTATTTTGTAGGGTTCTACTATTACTCAAAACCACTTCCCTTAGTTCAAAATAATTTTGGAAATTATTTCAAGGTGGTTTAAGATGGTTTTGGATGATTGAAAAAACAAGTAGAACCACCTCAAAATAATTAGCAAAAATCCCCACAAAATTATTTTGGGGGGTCACCCTACCTATCCTCCCGAATGCCCCCGACAAGCATTGTCGGAATTTCATGATTTAGACCATCGATTTTTGGACAAAGAAATCTGAATCGACCCCTTCCTACCCCATAAATTATTTTGGGGGAGGTTAACTACTAAACCACCCCAGAAATAATAATAGCCTAAACTGGCAAAATTAACTTCCCATTGAGTAGTTCAAAATCCAAATTGCCTCGAACAGACAAACCCTGAGATTTACCATGAATTACTTGCTGAACTAATTATTTTTAGAACATCGACTTAGCATCGGCTTTTGGGCAAAGAAACCTGAATCGATTCCTCTCTCCCCAAAAATTATTTTGGGGGTGGTTAACTACTAGACCACCCCAGAAATCCAAAATAACCTAACCTTGCAAAACTCAACTTCCCTGGAATAGGTCAAAAATGCCAAACCTGATCCAAATTGACCCAAACTGTCTGAAAGAATCAAACCATGAGAACCTAATTATTTTGGGGGTGGTTAACTACTAAACCACCTATGATTTAGACTATCGATTTTTGGACAAAGAAATCTGAATCGACCCCTTCCTACCCCATAAATTATTTTGGGGGTGGTTAACTACTAAACCACCCCAGAAATAATAATAGCCTAAACTGGCAAAATTAACTTCCCATTGAGTAGTTCAAAATCCAAATTGCCTCGAACAGACAAACCCTGAGATTTACCATGAATTACTGGCTGAACTAATTATTTTTTAGAACATCGACTTAGCATCGGCTTTTGGGCAAAGAAACCTGAATCGATTCCTCTCTCCCCAAAAATTATTTTGGGGGTGGTTAACTACTAGACCACCCCAGAAATCCAAAAAAACCTAACCTTGCAAAACTCAACTTCCCTGGGATGTGTTGGGATTGACGGGATGTGGCTTGAATGAAGTTGGAAATGGCTGCAGATTGATTCAAAGAATATCCTGACTGAACATGTTGAAATATGTAGTTGAAATTTGATGTAATATGCTGAAATTATTTTGCAGGTGGTTTGCAAGTACCCCCACCCCATGAAATAATTTTCATCATGGGTGTCTGGTAATTATTTTATACAGTTGGAACTATATGAAATAATTTCCCCAGTTCAACTGAGAAATTATTTTGAGGTGCCTTAAGTTGTTTGTTTAAAATTATTTCAAGGTGCTTCAACCTCTGTAGGTGGAAAATTATTTTGCACCATCATCAAGGTACGGGTGCAAAAATTATTTTGCTATGGCTCTTGTCGGGTGATTTTAACATAAAATTTATGTTAAAAATGGAAATTATTTTAAAAAAAATATTTTGGAACCAACCCCCACCTCAAAATAATTTCCTAAGGTAGGACGCATTGGTTATATATATATGGTTGGTTAACATAGAAATGTTGTTAACATATCTCTAATGTTTTGTTTTAACTGATGAAACCAATTCAACATATATCTGGTTGGTGGTGCAATGACCATCTTGAATAACAATATATGCTCATTGGTCACTGATCTACTTGGTAGTTTTTTCAAATTAGCAATCTGACAACATGATGGTCACTGTCAATATGTCATGGACAACTGTTAACCAATTGGTTATATATATATATGGTTGGTTAACATAGAAATGTTGTTAACATATTTCTAATGTTTTGCTTTAACTGATGAAACCAATTCAACATATATCTGGTTGGTGGTGCAATGAACATCTTGAATAACAATATATGCTCATTGGTCACTGATCTACTTGGTAGTTTTTTCAAATTAGCAATCTGACAACATGATGGTCACTGGTAATATGTCATGGACAACTGTTAACCAATTGGTTATATATATATATATGGTTGGTTAACATAGAAATGTTGTTAACATATCTCTAATATCTCTCATGTTGTTGTTTTAACTGATGAAACCAAAACATACATATCTGCTTGATGGTGCAATAACCATCTTGAATAATGTAAAAGTCAATGGGAAGGATTATGCCATATACTATGGAACATCAAAAATGTTCCAAGCCACCAACCAGATATATATTATTGATATATGCATGTTGTCATGTATAGTTATCTACATGAATTATACTGAATTAATATGAATTTACTGATATGTGATTTGTACATGGATCTTTAGACATGTAAATGCACAATGATGTTTAAAGATGCATCTGTACAAACCGTGCAAGTCATGTCAAATGTATGTTTGAGATCATTTTTTGCCTACAATGCCTATGTACTTTGATCAAACGTCATTCTTGACCATTCCCACAAAATCTGGTTGCGATGATCTTCTAATTACGAATCACTTTCACAATCATAAATAACTTTATCTATGTAAGTTCCTTTATTGAGGGGTTGTAGCCAGTTCTATTCCCCGATCAATAATATTCCCAGTATATCTGGTATTCCCTTGTGTATGCCCATACATACTCAATCAACCCCATGGAAACATCTAGAAATTGAACCGTGAAAGCAAGCTTCAAAGAGGTAGAATGTGAACCCTTTTCTGCATCTTTTTGGTATAAGTCATAACTGGTTGGTGGTTTCAACCTCTCTGACAAATATGAGTTCGTCAGTTGGGATCAGGATTAGGACATTCCCAACTGTTTCTGGAAAGTCAGAAAATTCCATGGTTCCAGTCACCACCAAGCAGATAATTTCAGGTGGATTCAATCAACTGCAAAGCAGACCCCGTTCAAGAATGACTGTTGGTGCTTGATTCGCCCTTACTCAATCCTCGAATCCCAATTTTTCATGGCAAAACCAGCACGCGCTCCATGGCGAAACCCACAATTGTCCATGGCAAAACCACCAGATTCCATGGTAAATCCCATCATGTTCCATAATTTTCAATTTCATTTTCCACAATTTTCCATAGGAAAACCACCAGGTTCCAAGGTAAACCCAGCAGTTTCCAAAGGAAAACCCAGTCGCAGCACCGCCATCACAAGGCGCCTGGAAGAGCTGCGACGCCAAAATGGCCTTCAGGCGCTTCCCTGGAGAAGTTCGGAGCACCTTGGCCTCCACGTTGGGCATGCGGAGCACCTGTCGTCGTCGTGAAGCCGCGGGCGTATCCATGGAGCTTTGCCATGGAAGATGATGGAAGATGGTAGAAAAAATAATCCCCATATATTTCCCCATCTGCCAGGTGAGGATTGTTAGATTTTATCACAGTTCTTCTCCTCCTCGGCTAGCTATCCTCCTCCTGCTCCTCCTGCTCCTCCTGCTCCTCCTGCTCCTCCTGCTCCTCCTGCTCCTCCTGCTCCTCCTCCGCCAGAATCTCCTCCACCACCTCTGCCTCCACTTCCACGTCCACTGTTGCCTTGCCAACTCTTCGCCAATCCCATAGTTCGAGCTGGCTGCCCGTCTCCCCAAGCTCTTCGCCAACGTCCGAGCTCAGTGTGCACCGCTGGACCTCAACCTGGGACCTTCCCAGCTCAGTGTGCACCGCTGGACCTCAACCTGGGACCTGCCCAGCTCAGTGTGCACCGCTGGACCTCAACGGCCAGATAGAATGCCAGAAGATATGCCAGATAGAATGTCAGATAGAATGCCAGAAGATATGCCAGATAAAATGCCATGAGATATGCCAGATAGAATGCCAGAAGGTATGCCAGATAAAATGTTAGAAGATATGCCAGATAGAATGCCAGAAGGTATGCCAGATAGAATATGCCAGATAGAATGCCAGAAGGTATGCCAGATAGAATGCCAGATAAGATGTCAGATAGAAGGCCAGAAGATATGCCAGATAAAGTGCCGGAATGTTTGCCAGATAGAATACCAGAAGATATGCCAGATAGAATGCCGGATCGAATGCCAGAAGATATGCCATTGGGGTAACTATGTGGCAGAAGATTTGTCAGTAACACAACGTATAAATATCATGGTGGGGATCACTCGAAGTAAAGTAATTTTACAGATATTTTATATAAAATTGTCCACGAGATATTTTTCATGGCCCACCATTTCTGGGGAGGATTTCTGGAAAAATGAGGTGGAAACATATCAATGGATTCAACGGACATGGGACATATATGATATACGGAAACCAGCGGAAATGTATAAATATATCTACCATTGGAAGAATTTACATTAAGCCATGTTTAGCGATGATAACATGGAATCGTGAACAACTATTGTAATAGTCTATTTAACACCCAATAGCTATTTGTGCGGATGAATGAGATATCAATGGAAAACTTGTGGAATATATAGCCAACTACATAATTAATCATGGCTTTACATTATAATATCTCTACCAACATTACGTATGTTTGTTGGTTTATAAGACCCATTAACTGATTGTAGAATATTAGACATTAGAATAGATATATCTAGCTTTTCAACCCAACCGTTATTGGATGTTACGTTTACCAACTTAGCTAAAATTCCACAAATCCAATGAAATCACCATTAATGTTGGTACTTGGAAGATCGTCCCATGAATCAAAAGTGGTCAATAAGCCCGGTTCGCCAGGCCCTCTTTTGTGACTGAATGCTACCATTTGAGCTACCTTTAGTTGTTATGTTTGCCTTGTTAGAAAAGGTCGCCTTCGTTTTTGCAGGTTTTGACCTATATGCCATTCCAATACATATCCCTTACATAGACCTTTTTGATCCTTTTTGGTGGTAGCCCATTTATATAATTGGGGAAACTAACCCCAGAAACACTAACCACCTACGAGTCACCGGATGATCCTCCAAGTAAGCAACAACGAATGGAGGATGTTTCGCAATTGTCACGCAAATTCATGTTTTGTCTTTGGTGTGGTTAGGCAAGAAACGGATGACTTAAGAAGAAAACATGAGGATTTCAAAGCGTTTGGACTGAAGATGGGCGATGCCCTAATCTATCGCCGGTGTTTAATTCTAAAATCATGGTCAGATGGTCAATCGTGAAATTTTGGGGTATGCAGCGATGGAACCATGTTGACTTGACAGGCTTGGAGGTAGAGGAAACCAACTTGAAGTCAGGGATGTATATATATATATATATTTATAATATGTATACATATATATATACATGTATATATATATATATGATTATATATGTATACTGTATACACAATATATATATACATATGTCTATATATATATATACATATGTCTATATCTATATGTATATATATATATAATAATGTATCAAAGGAATCAAGGGTCGTACAGCAAAACCCCCTTTGATCTACAGTTCAGCAGCTTCTGAAGTCACTGGAACACCCGCGGCGAGGGCACCCTGATTCGACCCTTGAAGTAGCGTTCACGCTCCCATTCCTGCACCACGCTGGCAGAATTTCGCTCAAAGATTGGTGCTGTTTGGATATCATATGGATAGGTCTTGCTTATATCATCCAAAAGTCTCCGAAATAATCGGTATCCAGTATATCCCAAAATCATATCCAATACAACCAATATAACACCAATATTCTCAATTGCTTCGCAACAAATTGCGAGGTCTGACGCGCTTTCTAAAAATCTGAAAAGAAAACCCTTGTGGCCCAGTGGGTGTCCCAAATCTGGCCATGGAAGCTGCTGACCTCACAATGGTCTAGTTCACTGTCTATAGTCTATAGTGACTATAACTGCAATTGAATATGGTTATAACATATTACAAACCAACGTTTCCCACCCGCATTATAACATGTTATGGGTTTGAACACGTTAGAACATTCTCCAACAAACCAAGTAGTATCACCACCTACAATCACCCACGGTCATTCTCTTGTTTTCCCCATCTTGAGTCATTCAAAATCCACTAAGAAATCCGTGACACCAGGATAGCAGGAGCCAATCCCAAGCTCCACCAGGAGCTCACCCTGCCTCCATCTCGACAGGATCCACCGTCTTCCAGGCCCGCTGCGACCGCTTGACGTCTTTCTCTTCGATCTGCGGGGCCACCGAACTGGACGCCTTGACTCCTGCGCAGCCATACCCGAAAAGTCGCGGCGCAGGTGGGGGGGGTAGTAGGGGTAGCAGGGATAAAACTGCCAAGTTCTGAAACCTGACGAGCTCACATTCTCAAGTTGCCGCCCTGCTTATATCATCCTAGTAGCAAGCTGGTTAGTGTGTGCCATTCTGTCGAGAGGATAAGTCACCTTTGGACGTTCCAGAAAACCCCGGAAAAAAAATCGCAAGATTCCAGCCATTTACCGGAGACAAAAAAACACTTTTAATTCGGGATAGTAATCCCATCACCCTTTCATATTAAACACCCCCGTGCAACGAAACCATGGACCATGGATGTAGGGAATTTCCACATTTTTGTTGGAACCATCCAATGGGGGTGTGGAAATTTATGTTGGGATGGGATTCATTCACCCGAATCCCTTCGGCCATGGATGATTCTCAGACCTCGATGCCTCCACAGTGATGCCCCACTTTTCGTGCCCAATCATATTTGATAAGCCCATAAAATGAGAACAGGATCTTCTCCCCATTCCCATCCGCCAATTTTTTATTCCCGAGAGCGTCTGAGCGCAGGGTTCTTCCAATAGTGGGGGTCTGTAAAACATCTTCTCATCTTCACATCTCATCTTCACATCCTCTCATCTTCACATCTGCTCATCTTCACATCCTCTCATCTTCACATCCTCTCATCTTCACATCTGCTCATCTTCACACCTTCTCATCTTCACATCTCTCATCTTCACATCTCTCATCTTCACATCTGCTCATCTTCACATCTGCTCATCTTCACATCTGCTCATCTTCACATCTGCTCATCTTCACATCTGCTCATCTTCACATCTGCTCATCTTCACATCTGCTCATCTTCACATCTTCTGCTCATCTTCACATCTGCTCATCTTCACATCTGCTCATCTTCACATCTGCTCATCTTCACATCTGCTCATCTTCACATCTGCTCATCTTCACATCTCTCTCTTCTCATCTTCATCTCACATCTGCTCATCTTCACATCTGCTCATCTTCACATCTCTTCACATCTGCTCATCTTCACATCTGCTCATCTTCACATCTTCATCTTCACATCTTCATCTTCACACCTGCTCACCTTCTCTCTCATGCCTTCTTTTTATCTTTCTCTCTTAAGGCCGAGGGTGGTGCCGGCGGCGAGTCACGAAACGTCAACCCTTTCGCACGAAATGAGGGTCGATCGGCAAAAACTGAGGAAAAATTGCGATTTGACTTGTCCCGGAGCAACCCTTTCGCACGAAATGAGGGTCGATCGGCAAAAACTGAGGTAAAATTGCGATTTGACTTGTCCCGGAGCAACCCTTTCGCACGAAATGAGGGTTGATCGGCAAAAACTGAGGTAAAATTGCGATTTGACTTGTCCTGGAGCAACCCTTTCGCACGAAATGAAGGTCGATCGGCAAAAACTGAGGTAAAATTGCGATTTGACTTGCCCCCGAGCAACCCTTTCGCACGAAATGAGGGTCGATCGGCAAAAACTGAGGTAAAATTGCGATTTTACTTGCCCCCGAGCAACTCTTTCGCACGAAATGAGGGTCGATCGTCAAAAACTGCGGGAAAATTGCGATTTTACTTGTGCCGGAGCAACCCTTTCGCACGAAATGAGGGTCGATCGTCAAAAACTGCGGAAAAATTGCGATTTTACTTGTGTGTAAAAGCTTCTGTGTGTAAAAGCGTCTGTGTGTAAAAGCGTCTGTGTGTAAAAGCGTCTGTGTGTAAAAGCGTCTGTGTGTAAAAGCGTCTGTGTTTGAAAGCGTCTGCGTGTAAAGGAGTCTGTGTGTAAAAGCTTCTGTGTGTAAAGCGTGTGTGTGTAAAAGCGTCTGTGTGTAAAAGCCTAGGTGTGTAAAAGCGTCTGTGTGTAAAAGCGTCTTTTTGTAAAAGTGTCTGCGTGTAAAAGTGTCCGTGTGTAAAAGCGTCTGTGTGTAAAAGCGGTTGTGTGTAAAAGCGTCTCTGTGTAAAAGTCTCTGTGTAAGCGTCTGTGTAAAAGCCTCTGTGTGTGAAAGCGTTTGTCTGTAAAAGCGTCTGTGTGTAAAAGCGTCTGTGTGTAAAAGCGTCTGTGTGTAAAAGCCTCTGTGTGTAAAAGTGTTTGTGTGTCAAAGCGTCTGTGTGTAAAAGCGTCTGTGTGTAAAAGTGTCTGTGTGTAAAAGCGTCTGTGTGTAAAAGCGTCTGTGTGTAAAAGCGTCTGTGTGTAAAAGTCTCTGCGGGTAAAAGCCTCTGTGTGTAAAAGTCTCTGTGTGTGAAAGAGCCTGTGTGTAAAAAGCGTCTGTGTGTAAAAGCGTCTGTGTGTAAAAGGCTCTGTGTGTAAAAGCGTCTGTGTGTAAAAGCGTCTGTGTGTAAAAGGCTCTGTGTGTAAAAGCGTCTGTGTGTGTAAAAGTCTCTGTGTGTAAAAGCGTCTGTGTGTTAAAAGCCTCTGTGTGTAAAAGCGTCTGTGTGTCCAAGCGTCTGTGTGTAAAAGCGTCTGTGTGTAAAAGTGTCTGTGTGTAAAAGCGTCTGTGTGTAAAAGCGTCTGTGTGTAAAAGCGTCTGTGTGTAAAAGGCTCTGTGTGTAAAAGCGTCTGTGCGTAAAAGCGTCTGTGTGTAAAAGAGCCTATGTGTAAAAAGCGTTTGTGTGTAAAAGCGTCTGTGTGTAAAAGCGTCTGTGTGTAAAAGCGTCTGTGTGTAAAAGCTTCTGTGTGTCAAAGCTTCTGTGTGTAAAAGCGTCTGTGTGTAAAAGCGTCTGTGTGTAAAAGTGTTTGTGTAAAAGTGTTTGTGTGCAAAATCGTCTGTGTGTAAAAGCCTCTGTGTGTAAAAGTCTCTGTGTGTGAAAGAGCCTGTGTGTAAAAACATCTGTGTGTAAAAGCGTCTGTGTGTAAAAGCGTCTGTGTGTAAAAGCGTCTGTGTGCAAAAGCGTCTGTCTGTAAAAAGTTCTGTGTATGAAAAACTTTACAAAAATACGATGCAAACTATTGTCTTGTACTAGTCATATATTGTCTTGATACTACTCTTCTCGTCTGCCTATAATGCATCTTTAATATAGTGTCTCCATACTAACAGCAGAAGACTCTGCTCCTCTACGCTCTCGGGCCATCCGTCGTCTAGTATGGAATATTTAAGCCAACCTTTAAGATAATCGATCAAGATGACCCAAATTTGGGTAAATATACCTGGGAAATTCCTTTGGTTCTTGCCCCAAAAAAGATGCCGAACAGCATTTTTAGGGAAATTTGATGATGTTTCCTCCATATGTTCAGGTTTCCGTCTTTTCTGGGTGTGCTACTTCAGGAGGAACCAAGTTTATGCTTCTTGAAAGTTTGACAAAGGATCCATCTCGGTCAACCGAATATCACATTTCCAAGTCCATTTCGTGTGGCAGGTGTGGGACAGTCAATTATCACCCGTTTTTAAATTTATAAGATTAAAAGCTCTTGGAGGGTGGAAATTGGCCCGGGGTACGACAAAGCTCCATGCTAGGATTCTAAGGGGAAAGGGTGTGCAGAAGAAGAAAGCTAACATCTTCACTGTCGGAAGCTCAACAAGCGCAACTTTTGTCCTATCAGTGTACAACTGGGATGACTTGGCTGTTTAGCTATTAGTTATGAAAGTCCCCTAACTGAAAAAAAATGGCTGTGACATGCTATTACCATAGCTACAAATATAGTTGCAATGGATCAATGATTACTGGTTGGTGGTCTCAAGCCCTCTGAAAAATATGAGTCAGTTGGGATGATGACATTCCCAATATATGGAAAAATAAAACATGTCCCAGACCACCAACCAGATATATTGTTCTTCCAACTATTAACCATTTATTAACCATAGATTAACCATAGATTAACCATTATTAACCATTTTTTGTAGATATATTAATCATTGATTATCATTATTAACCATTGTTAACCACTATTGACCAGTATTAACCACTATTAATCAGTGATTAACCGTTGATGATTTGGGTTTTACTATGGTTATTGCTACTTCCTCCATCACTTCCACGTGTGACCATCGACATCGACATCGACCTGTGGGCCGACGCACCTCGCTGCGGTCGCCCGGAATGGAGCAGCATCACTTGCACCTTGTGCTTCAGCGGCAGATGGTTCACCAGGGACCTAAAGAGACGTGAGACGGGGAGACGGGATTGCTTGGGTCTACTTAAGGACAAAAATAGATTGCAAACATGTGCATATATAATCATATATATATACTGTATATATATACACTGTATATATATATACTGTATATATATATATATATATGTATATATATATGTATATATCTATATATGTATATATCTATATATATATATATCTCTCTCTCTCTCTCCGTGTCTCTTTGGGTTTTTCGGCTGTTGTTGTGTACAGGTATGCGCTATACACATCGTATGTATGGATACATACAGTACATACATGTACAATCATGTATATTATATATATATGTATATATATATATGTGTGTATAGCACACATGTTGGCACTCAACCACAGGAAATGCTTGCCACATGTTTTGCAACCTATGGCATTGGTGAATAGCAGGGGTACCAATAGAACGTGCCAACAATCTTCCTGTTTGGTACCTGAAACTATGTGTCAGTTCAGTGATTCACACCATTTCGCATGACAAAAAATAGGCATGAAGCATGATGAACCCTCCCTTCTCTTGGGATAGTACCCTCTGGTAAACATACAAATAACTATAGAAAGATCCACCATGCTATCCATGGGTAAAAAAACAACGATTTCGACTGGGCCATTTTCCAGTTCGCAAAATGTCTGTTTACCAGAGGGTATATCCCATTAATATCCCATTAAACCACTATAAATCCCACTAAACCACTATGAAATCCCATTAAACCACTATGAAATCCCATTTACCACAGGGTATAGAGATGCACAGAGATTCAAAAAGAGTGAATTCTCAAGGCCCGAAGGTTCCTGAAAAATCTGCATCGACCAGCATCCCCGAATCTCCGGGATGCTGAAACGAGTTCTTCTCGTCCATCTCGAAAGCCCTGGAGATTTCTATGGGGGTAGCCCTATTTAAAATTGTTTAAACAGGATTGTTTACCATGGTAAACCATCTATTTAAATGGTAAACCATCTATAAACCATCTATTTAACAAAACCATGTTAATTACTAGGATTTTCGATGATCAAGCATCCAGCTATTGGGGTAATCCTATTTGTGCACCCAAATCATGTGGTAGTCTATGCTCGGACAAACCGAAACTGTTTAGGGGTAGACTTAATTGATTGTGGGATTATGGATAATCGATTGTGGTGATCGTTCGATGACATACGCTATTGTCATTGTGGTAAACCCAATAAAGTTAAACACAATCCGATTGAAGAATCACAAAGTATGACCAAGAGCGACCAACAATTCCAACAAGTCACATGAATCACACAATTATGTGGTAAAATGTGGTGTTTACCAATTCTACCTTCAACATCATCCTGAAAAACCTCTTCAAATATAGTCATGGGGTTACCCCAATAGCTGGATGCTTACCAATTAAAAATCCCCATCGAAAATGGATGATGAACAGGGGTCACCCCCATTTAAGGAAACCTCCATATCAATAAACTCCTTTGGATTTGGGGATATTACCGTGTCACACCTGTGATTCACATCGGCGTACCCGTCAGCTAGTCAGCTCTATGGCTTGGAAATCCTCCATGATGTTCCATGCTGTGTGTCATCAAATCCTCTGCTTCAGGGATTTGGCAATTGAAAACGTTTTGAGTTGTACTCTCTATGAATTATGATCATTATGAATCCCCATTGTATGTAAAAGAACAAAAACACACAATTCTTCATGCTGAAACCATCATCTCCATCACCATCCTTCCAGCCGCCTGAGGATGCCCTCCAATCTCCCTCCGAGGCCATGAAAATTCAACTCCAGCTCCATGCTGAAATACTGACACTCGATGCGATCCACCACCCTGGGAACGGAAAAAAAAACACCATCATACTACCGTGGAAGTGGAGATCAGCTTAAATGTGGAGAAAATGCATCCATTTCAATTTTTCGGTTGAAAAAAACTAACATCTTGGAACTATAATCTGGACCAAAACTGGTTGTTGGTTCCGATTGCACCAAATGTTGTTTTCATGACTGGCCAAGTTAGTGAACATATGTGAACATGGATTTTCCAGCCCCACCCTTCCAGATTCCTTCTGCGTTCTAGGATCATCGATACTCTAGATTCCATCAGACTTCCCGACGATGTTCAAAACAACCGGTATCTGGAGTCAATTAACCTACCAGGAGAAGGTCAATTATCCTACCGAGTACTGGTAGGTCAATCATAGGTAATATGTTCAAATTTCAGACTTCAATGATCAATTATTGACCTACCAGTACTAATTAATCGGTATCAACGGTATCAATGATCTCCCACTATTTTCACGCCATGGAACATCCAATGGGGAAAGCCGAAAAAAGCGAAATGTGAGGTTGAGAGGCCACAATCCTGAAAGTCAGGATGGTTATAACCCATTTCTGCTTTCAATTGGATTGTGTTTAACTTCAATGGGTTTACCACAATGACAATAGTGTATGTCATTAAACGATCACCACAACCATTGAAGTCTAACCCTAAACAGCTTCGGTTTGTCCAATAACAGGGTACCACCGTTTCCATAAATGGAGGCACCCCAAAATGGATGGTTTACAATGGAGCATGCCACTAAATGGATGATTTAGGGTACCACCATTTTAGGAAACCACCAAATGATGTTCTTTCCTGTTCACTCTCAAATATTCCGTAAAGTATCCCCATGATATCCCCATCAATGGGTGGTTTTGTCTGAAGATGGCATGGTGTATCCCAAATTCACCTCATCCTCATGGAGAAAATGACAAAATTCACCGATGGAATGTGGATGGAATGGCGTCCCGTGAGTTTCAGAAACCATATCTGGTTGGTGGTGCAATAACTATCTAAGAAAATATGACTTCGTCAATGGGAAGGATGACATCCCATATATTATGGAAAATCATAAAAATCATGTTCCAAACCACCAACCAGTATTGGAACATTCAAACGAATGGAGAGTTAATGGCATCTGACTGGCAATTCATGGGAATTTCGGACAAACATCAACAAACAAAAACATGTGTCTCAGATTGGGGTGATCAACTCCTTAAATGTTTTCCCCATTCCAAATCGTGAAAACCACTGGATCGGTCCCAGCAGCTTCTCCAGCAACTTCCGAAGCACCTTTGGCTCGAAGTCGCCCATCTGAACCAAACAGTGAAACACCAAGAAGGCCTGGACAGGTGGCTGGGACTTGAAGATTTGGATGAAAAGTCCATGGGAATTTCATTGGGGAAAATGTCCGTTTAACCTTTTTTTCAATGACACCTGAACAAAAATCATGGATGAAAAAAAACAAAAACTCATTAGAATGGTTATTGAACATGCAAAATGCGCAATTTCTGAACAACATAGAGATGTGGCGGTAGAGCTACATGTTTGACATCAGAATCGTTGGAGTAGTCATGGTTTGTCTCAAATTGTTTTTCTTGAGCGTACCCTTTCTGATGTCATGTTGAGACATTTTTGCATGTTTATTTCTCCTGCATGTCCAACCCCGTGGTTGGGATGTAAATATTCAATTTTAGCTAGCCCCTCCTCATTTCTGTGTTGAATCCCTCATTATTGCATGGTAACTAAAATGCGTCCAGCCCTTTTGCCCCAAATTGATTCATATGTTTTCCCATTTCACTCAATAAAAATCCACATGATTTCCCCTTACACTTCATAATATCCCAATCACCGTTGTTAATCCATATTGCACATGGGGATGTTCCATAGATTTTACGAGCAATTCATGTTCAAAAAACTCCAACCCTTGTTCAAATATCCTTTAGCCATCAGCTGTGCCCAAGCCCTTGCTTGCGGGGTGCTGTTGGGGTGGCATGGGTATAGGTATAGTCGGTATAGTGGGGCCCCATATCCCGACTGTTGGGGCTTAAAATCCCATGGTTGTGCCTATTAGTTGTCATTTCATTCGCCACTATTAGTCCATATTTTTGTTAACCCTTATGCTAACCATATATCAACTTATTTTCCTTTTCTTAACCATTTTGAACTCCACATTAGCCACTCAGAACTGCTAATGCACATGAAATGAATTCTCTATCAACCATGTACTAACAACATAGTATGCAACCACTATTAACCCCATATTAGTCATCAATAGCAATTCACTTTAAACAAAATAATAAAAAAAACAGTTAAACACTATCGAGCATGATTCTCTTCTGATTGATTCGTAAACATGAAAAACATTGAGAACAATTCGGCGATTCAAATACCATTGATAAACAAAACAAATCGCCACCATAAATAACCATCAAAAACACTTCAAAACCATTCAAAAAACTCCATACTAACCCATATATCCACAATATGGTTTTGTCTGAAAATGTTGTTGTTTCCTATTCGATCCCATGTTTAATAATCATTTGTAAATCCCCCGTTTCCAGACCCAACGTAATCCTTGTTTACTATAACATTAATACTAACCATATAACATGCCCTCCATTATTAACCCCGTATTAACTCCAGATTTCACCATATGGAGTTGATAATTTATTAACCATAATAGTGGATTGTGGGATCATCATTATATACTCCATTATTAAGCCATACCAATAGTCACTATAGGAGAGTTGAGTTGTTGTGATGCATGGGTGTCAGAGCGAATCCACTGATGGACCGAAAGGTGGTTGGAGTTGTTTTTTCTTGAGTGGTTGCAATGGTTGCAGTGGTCAGCTCACCCACAACTGCTGGATGTAGTGTGGTGTAGTGCAGCTGTAGTTGTAGATGTAGCGTAGTGGAGCTGTAGTTGTAGTGTATGTGTAATTAGTGTAGCGCAGTTGCAGTTGTAGTTGTGGTGTGGTGCAATGAGTGTAGTGTAGTGTGCCGTAGTGTTGTGTGCTGCAGTGTTGTCTAGTGTAGTGTAGTCCAGCGTAGCGTAGCGTAAAGTAGTGTAGTTGTAGCTGTAGTTGTAGTTAGTGTAGTTTGTAGTTGTAGTTAGTGTAGTTTGTAGTTGTAGTTATTGTAGCGTAGTGTCGTGTAGTCTAGTCTAATGTAGTGTAGTGTAGTGTAGCGTAGTGTAGTGCAATTAGTGCAGTGTAGTGCAATTAGTGCAGTGTAGTGTAATGTAGTTGTAGTTGTAGTTGTAGTTCTGCGCTAGACTTCCTCAATTTTTGAACTTGACAACATCAGTAGCGCAGCAATTCTACGAGACTTCCTCAATTTTTTGAATTTGACAAAGTCCAAAAAACGAATCAATTTTGCGAGACGTCCTCAATTTTCGAAGGTGACAACATCAAAAACAAAGCAATTCTGCGAGACTTCCTTCAAACATGGAAAGTTGAGTGCAGGCCTTGTACCAATGCGTTTTGCGATTTTTCCATTTGATCTGTGTGAAGTGCTGCAAGTGATGCCAGGTCATACCACGTGCTGCACCTGTCGCGCAAAATCTTCTTAGGAAACCTGAAGATCTGATGCTCCACCATGCAACCCCTTTCAGGACATCAGCGCCCTGACCTCCTAACATCTCTGATGAACATGTCTCTTGTACTGTGAATCCACGCCAAATGCATCTTTGCAGATCCTCTTGAAATGTCCCACGCCTACCATCGTTTTTGGAAATGCTACAAAACCTTCACTTTTTTGCTCACTTCTGGCAAGGTGAGGCTTCCTTGGCGCCTGCCACGCAAAACCACATCCTTCAAAAGTGGTCCGAGCATGTGAGCTTTTAACATTTCGACTTGGAAATGTGCTTCGCGCCACAACAGCGTGCACTTTTTGAACATCTCAACTTTCAAAAATGCTACGAGAATGGTGCAATGTGAGGCTTCCTATAGTTATAAATTGGTTTATAAGCCCCGGTAACTATAGTTATAAGTACCATAAACCATACTCATTGGAGTTATAAACCAACTTAATTAGCTATCTTGGGGGCCTCACATTGTGTGTTTTGTACATGTTGACTTCGACATGTGCTTCGCGCCACAGCGGCGTGCACTTTTTGAACGTCTCAATTTCCAAAAGTGTTCCGAACCTGAGGTGTGTTTTGTAGTTTTTGACTTCCAAATGTGCTGCACGCCAGCAACGGCGTGCACTTTTTGAACATCTCAACTTCCAAAAATGCTCCGAGAATGGTGTGCTTTGCACATTTTGACTTCAAAATGTGCTTCGCGCCACAACGCCTCGACATCTCAACTTCCAAAAGTGGTCCGAACATGAGGTGCTTTGCACATTTTGACTTCGAAATGTGCTTCGCGCCACAACACCGTCCCGCCGCTTTAGCGTTTCGACCCTCCGGAGCCACAAATCATTGGAACAACACAGTGAATCGCGACTTTTCTACCTTTTCGCGACTCTTTCTCTTTTCTGACTCTTCCCACCTCTGCTTTTCCATGTGTCCATATTGCCGGAAGCTTGACTTTTCTAAACTTCCTTCGATTAATCAACCATTAATATGGGTTAACCATGGTTAATATAAAATGGTTTAATATTAAATATTACTAATCTATTAACATATGCTAACCCATATTAAATCCATATTAAGCCATACTAAACCATATCCCACCCATCTTCTATCCATCCACGGTTGACCACCTGCTCCGCCGTAAGTTCCAGCGACAGCAAATGCTCCGCCACGACCGGCCACTTCGACGAAGCGCGTCCGGCGTAGGCCAAGGCGAGTGCCTCCGCTGGGGCGCCCATGGATGCCATGGTAAAACATAATATAAACTCTATGGTTTTCTATGGGTTTACTAGTTTTACGATGATTTTAAGATGGTTTTAAATCATGATACCATTTAATTATCCACTGATCTCGTTTTAGGGTCTAGATCCGTGGGGTTTACATCAGCTACCTTTTTCAGCCAAAGTAAGATGTCTCAAAGCAGCCTCAATTGAGACATTTTGAACACTGTCCAAGGTCAACAATGCCATATCGTGCTTCCAAAAATTGTTGACATTGACATGACCCAAACTTGCCCGACAAAGATGCTCAAATTTGCTCAAAATTGTTCAAAATTGTTCACATTTGCTCAAAATTGCTCAAATTTGCACAAAACTGCTCAAATATGCTCGAAATGTCTCAAAATGTTTCAAAATTTCTCACAATGGCCCACCAAGTGTCTAAAGGGGTGATGTTCTTGCATATACAGGTGCGAAAGTTGTCATTACTTGGCATTGCCGTTGCCGGTGTCTATTGTTGCATGGGCTTAAGGTCAGTGTCAATTGAGCCGAGGTCATGCCTGCTGCTGCATTCAGAATCCTCAATTGTCAGTTTCAACTGACAAAAATCACTTATCATTAGATTGGTTGCCATTGTTCAAATCAACGGATTCTCCCGAAAAAATCGCATTGCTTTGATAGGAAAAAACCGTTCATGCCCGCAGTTTCTTTTGCTTCATGACTGCCTCTTGGTGATACCACAGTGAGACATGAACTTCTAGGATTTTTGGTGTTTTTTGGAGATTTGAAAGGTAGCGGATCTAAACCTAACGGATCTACACCCCAAATTGCGAACAGTGAATTATGGTTTTACTATGGTTTATAATGGTTTACTAGTATTTACATGAGAACAAAAAAACATTTGTATCAATACTAGTCTTTACCGTGGTTACTGTAAAAACAATAAACATTACATTTGTAAGCTTATGATGCCATGTGTTTTTGACATTCATGGCGATGAATGGTATGTTAATATAATGTTTTAATATCGAATGCTTTTGATAGTTGAATCATGGCTAAAACGACCACTTCCACATGGGTTTTCCACTTCCGTTGGTAGTAGGGGCCTGGACTACCATATCTCTCGTTTCTGCTGCTTGATCCAGCGAGCCAAGTTCCCAATCTTCAGCTGAACCACTTGCTGTAAACACCCCTGTGGATTTTGGCTACGGAGTGTAGAATATCGTGGCAAAATCATCTCATCAGTAGTTCTTCTTATGTATCTTCTTCTTCTTCTCCTTCTTCTTCTTGTGGTGATGCCTTCGATCGCACCGTTCGCCTGACTTACTGAATGGTTTACGGTTCAGAATCCCCTCCATCAGGGTCATACCGTGGCAGATCGATAACATAGCAACACAGCATGTGCATGTCAACATGAACGTTCTTGCCCCGACCTACTCCCTTGTCTGAATATATAACATATACACCTTGTGTATAATGTAAGCAAAATCTTCGTATCTATAGAGGAAACCTACAAAATGCGGTCCCGCGGTTTTCCCTGTGGCATGTTCTTGCTCCAAGTGTGGAAGCAACAAATCGCCTGTTTTTGTTCCCAGGTTACCCCATCCCCGGCCTGACTCAGTACTTCCTCCACGGATGCAACCAGCAGTTTCTGCGGTTTCTCAAGGGCTTCGCCTGCCTGGGATCCATGTCCGGGTACTCTGTGAATTTGCCGATAAATCTGTGCTTACATGGAATTATTGTAATTTAATCGATAAGCTATGTCAAATACCTAATTTAATCGATAAGCTATGTCAAATACCTATGTATCACTATGTGATAATGTGATATTAAATTCTATTTATTATCTAAAAGACTTTGCACATGTGTCTTCACTTACAAATTTGTGTATCTATATCTATATCTATATATATATATATACATACCTACAGCCTCCAAAACCCACTTCTTTTTTGGTTGCCGGTCCCTTGCCTTAAGTGCATCTATAATGCCTTCACTGATTTTGTGCCAAATGATCGATCCACGTTTGGGTCTCCATGACAGTGTGGGTTTTGCGGTGCCTGTGCGCCTTGAAATTTCCAAACCCATGCGCCGCCATTCGTCCCATATGCATGCAATTGCTCTGATGTGAGGCGGTGGGCTTGTAGCGCCTCTTGCATTCTGAGCTCTTGACGCGTCATCCAGGTGGCGTCAACCAGCTGAGCCGTGCCCCAGAGCTTGAAGGTGCCGCTTGCGGCGAATGCCACCATGCCTCTGTGAAGTGCATTTGTCTTGCGGATTTCCCAACGTTTTGTGCCAGCAAGAATGTCACAGAGCCATTCGGGCTTCACCGTCAGGATCTTCCACGGCTGCGCCGACATCAGAATGCGTGGCGGAAGGTTGGAAAGCTTATATCATATATCTGAGTTGCCTTGGTTGCCTTGGCTACGTGTGCATATGTTTTGCTGATTGTTGGCATTGGCTCATCCTATGCTTGCCTCGTTGTTTGGATATAAGTGATTCGCCTCTGCGTTGTTTGGTGAAAGTATGGCTGCGAGCCGAATGAGAACGGAGGAAGATGTCTGTATGCCAATGGCTTTGCTATGCATTGAGATGTGGGGCACACTGCCCATGGCAAGATTCGACGTTGGACAAGCATCCGGTCTAGATTGTCTATATACGCAAGGCGAAGCCAACAACAGAAATTATTCGTCTGCTCTTGGCTTGATGTCCTTGGTTTTCCATTAGCAACTGACATAGCAAAACAAGCTATTATAATACGCACCTCTATATATATATATAGAGAGAGAGAGGTGCGTATATAAATATGGAATAATATAATATATTTAGGAAAATACACTTAATAGTATACAATTAGAAATATATATATATATATACATATGTATATCTATATATATATATATATACATACATACATATATCTCTGTGCGTTGCCGTCTTTACCCGGCGAGCAGAAATGCACCTCAATGCAAGCACACTTGATCTAAGACATCCAGACAGGAAGCGCGAAGATCTATTGATACAATTTCGGATGACGAAAATTCCGATTGAACTGTGTACGCAGTGTTGTTGATTGAGAGATTCGGCCCCCGGATTTGCGGCACGTCCGACACCGCAATTTTTTATCTGACAAAATACTGCGGTCGTAAGGGTGCCCCGTGGGGTGCCCAGTGAAACACCACGTGCCGCCCTACCACATTAGTCTATCACCAAGGTTCCGGCCTCAGTAAAGATAACCGAACTTTGATGCTATGCAGGCATTTTATCAGCCCGCTATGCATTGAGCTTCCAGCTTTTTCATGAAAATGGTGACAGATTGCCATTTCGATTGAGAAGTGCCCTGATTCCGAAAGGGTCTGAAAATAGAACGGCTATATATTTGATGCTTGGGCGCCGTCGCTAGGACGGTCTTGTTGAGGCCGCTGCCTTTGATTACTTTGACGGTGTTGCCGTTGACGCCGTTGGTGGCCCAAATGTGCCTTTTTTGACGGCGCCTGCAAGCACAACCGACATATTATATAATTACTTACGACTGACTGTTGACGGCCGGCGTCGCTGGGTTTCGTACATACAACAGACCTTCGACAGGATGCAAAGCAGCCAGACTTTGACCTCCACCCTTGCGAATACTTGCGAAACGTGTGCCGGGATGAAACGCGCGCATCAGAGAAGGAGCATGAATGCAATGGACAGTAAACTCTCAGATTTAAACGATGACGACGATGCAGCTGGCTGATGATGACTGCCTACTACCATGTTGCTGAGGAATCAGACGTTCAGCCGACGCAAGCTGGCAGAAAGTTAATTTTGTGTTTTTGGTCTTCGTTTTGTAGTTGTCACGCATGGGTTCAATTCGATGAGGCTCCAACGACTGCATGATATTGGCACGCTAAGTCCACCAGAAGAGGCACTGAAGCCAAGTACTGCGTGATGACTTCGATCCCTTCCCCCTATTACTAAACGTCCCACAAATACTAAAAACTAGAGTCCATCTCTAATTTCGGAAAAAATCAGATTGGCCAATTTGACTTTTAATTGATCCCTTTAGAAAACAATTTAAAAATAAAGCTACCATTTGTTTTTGCCCCCTAATAATGAAAACTAGTTAGCCCCGGGGTGTTGATTATTATGGTCCGTCCGAATTTTTTCGTTTTTAATTTTATTAATAGGGTCCGCTTCGAAATGCAATTTTTGGTAATATTTTAATCGCGTTATTTAAGGAAATTTCATTGATTTTGAGATCGGAAAAACAGGTTTTATTATTAAGGGTTGAATTTTATTAATAGGGTTCCCTAATAATAAATACCACCCTAATACTAAAAACATCTAAAAACTACTTGAGGTGTTTGTTATTTGGGGGGGTTAGTATTAGGGGAAGGGATTACTGCGTGATGACTTCGATTGACCCAGGCGGAGTTGCCATTGTGATGTTTACATGCAAGAAAACCTGCAAAGGTGCATTAAACCATGGGGTCTCGACATGTGCACATGCTTGAGCTTTGGCGAAACAACGCGGTTCTTCCCGAAGCGTGCATCCACTCGATTTCTTTTTTCGCCGTCAGTGGAGATGGTGTGCAAGAAACTTGGGTACCCTGCACTGGGTTGAAAGTGAAACGTAATATTGCGCCCGACCCTTTCATGGACGATGACCCATGCGACCTGAGTCTGCGGAGAGGGGTCAGCTCAGTTGCTCGGTCAGATAATTTCTGCCTGCACAGCATGTTGACTGAGTCGGCTGCCTCGTTGAAATGGCGTCGCAAGGCCGTTTGGATCGACCTTCTGCCTTGTTCAAACCAAGCTCTGGGAGCGCAAGTTTTTGGCGGTGAAGTATACAAACCGGGAAGGCACAGGATTTGCCAGAAAAAAAGACGTTTTTTCAAAATACGGGAAGATACGGGTAAATTACGGGAAATCATGGGTAAATTACGCGCAAATTACGGGTAGAAACTTGGAAAACCAGGTTTTTCTATTGAAAATACTAGTTTTTTCCTCAAAATCTTGAAACAACAGGTTTTTCGATTTCAACCCAAAAAAAGTGGGTTAAGGGTGCCATAGATATATGTAACAAAATTCCCGGGTACCCCCCCCCTCTTCATACATTTTAAGGGGTGGGGGATTATATGTATATAGCTAGAAGAAGTAGTAGAGGTTCCAATTCCATGTTTAATGAATAAAGGTTAGAACTTGGTATCAAAGTAATGAAATACTGGTCAAACGTTCTGACTTTCATTTCATAGGGTCACCATAGCAATACCTTGTGTTCCTATACTTGTCATAGTCAACCTTGCATAATATGACTACTGTTAATATATGACTATCATAGTTAACCATGAATATTCATGATGATCCAAAATCATCCATTATCACCACATTCATTCATAGCACAGCATGTTCCGCATAGTTGATGATACAAAACCATTAAGTTCGATATTCCATTACCAACTTGTGTTCCGGAACGATATTATCATTAATTTCATAATTTCATAAACCTATATATGGCCCAGTTATGAGGTCAATATTCCATACATGGAGCATATGGGATAGGGAAACCCTATACCAAACTGTGTTCCGTTCCGAGGCACCTTGAACTGGGACCCTCGGGCCTTGACACGTTCCATGGCCTTTGTGGCTGCGACGCTCGGTGCTTCGACCCGTAGGGCCAGCCAGGGAGGTTCAAGGTCTTCCCCTGGGGCCAGTGGGGCGGTTGGGGGTGGAAACAACGGTTAGTAAAACAGGTTCATATGGGTGAGAATGGGTTAACAATGACTATTTGTGATAATCATATGTATATATATATGTAATAAGTGTTTGTTTGTTGTGCCAATTTTAAGACCTTAATACCAGGGGAGGCCCCCTTGTTAGCTAAGTTGCTTTATAAGTAACATGTCACTACGGTGTGTGGTGAATACAATATTATAGCTATAGGCTATAGTTTATAGATGGGATATAAACCAACTTAAGACTAGCTAAGGGGGCACGATATTTGGGGGAGATGAACATCCATGAGCAACAGCTATGTTGATGTGAACAAATATCGGTATTTCCCCACCTGCCATGTGAGGGTCTCTAGATTTTAACAAGACATCCCTGAGAACAACGAACCCTGCTGAACCAACGAAGCAACGAAGGTTTCTTTCTGCATCCGTTCTTTGCCGTCCCTCCAGCGCAGTAAACACCACACTAATATCAACCAATGGGGTTTTGAACACTGCTGAACTGATGGGTATGGTCATCCCATCATGAACGGGATTCCTTCTAATTCTTGTGTAATTCCCGATATTGAACATGATCATTGATCATTTGTAGTTGATTTATATACCTATTATAAATGGTGATTTTCCATAGCTATGTGAAAGTTTCCTAAAATGGGGGTACCCCTGTTTATCATCCATTTTAGTAGGATTTTCCATGAAAAAACCATCCAGCTATTGGGATACCAACATGACTATGGAAACCTCCATTTTTGAAGAATGAGGTTTTTCAGGATGTTGAAGGTAGAATTGGTAAACACCACATTCTACCACATGATTTTGCGATTTAGTTTACCAAAGGGTAATACTAGTTGGTGGTTTCAACCCCTCTGAAAAATATTAGTCAATTGGGATGATTATTTCCAATATACGGAGGAAAAAAAATGTCCCAAACCACCAACCAGATTAGTATGTTATTCCAATTATTAACCATATATTCACCATTTATTAACCATAGATTAACCATAGATTAATCATAAAATTCCATGTTCCAAACTCCATCCTCCAAGAACTTGTCTTGGCCACACCTGTCGTCACTGCATCCTGCACCGCCACGTCGCTGAGGCGCCGCCGTGATGGCACCGGCGCTCGGCAGGAAGCCTTCACCAATGGAGAAGGTGGGAATCCTAGCAGAAAACACTGGAAATACCTAGGAAAACATGCAAAAAACAATAAGAAAAACAAGAAAAGCATGAAAAAACACAACGAAAACTTAGGAAATCCCAGGAAGGGTGGTAATTTTAGCAGCTAAGAATGATGGTTGTAGTGGCAAAAATTGTGGTTTTGCCAACAGTTGCGGATAAACTAGTTTGTAGTGGGGTTGTATAATGGGACTTCTTCTGGTGCCATGGTCCATGGTATGCTTACCTCAAGACTCAAGCCCAGATCTGACCATGCTGCATGGCCTTGTTGGCGGGATCGAACCAGCCGGAATCATAGCTTGGAAAACCATATATAACTGTGGGTCTGAGTCTGAGAGCGTAGACATGTTTGCACAAACACACATAACCTTTTCCGGAACGAATATGAAGACTGTGGCAAGCACTTCGCCGCAACAGCGTCCAGCAAAGACAGTGTTCCTACATCTTTTTGGGCTTCGTGGTGGTCGAGATCCTTGGATGGCTTGTCGATTCTCTAGTCATCAATCTACCCGCATATATTCGACGAAAAAAAACGAATCTTGCTACCCTCCAGTCATCAAACATGGTAATTTTGGATGATTTAGGTGGGCTATAGCTGGGAAAATCTGTAGAATGGTATAAATCACAATTTTTAATGGGTAAATCATCTATAAATCACGATTTTGAATGGATTCTCTATGGGTTTGATGAGACCGACTTCGGTGCCATGGTCCCTGACGCCTTGACCTGTTGAGTATGAAAGGCTCGCCGCAGCGGCCCCCTCAAAAAGGACGCCATCATGGCATCAACAGCATGCCATGGTGGGGTGCATCACACAAGGGATAGAGGATGATTCGCAAATCAAGGGATCAAGGAGCTACATGGACCCCACCAGTGATGTTTGTTGGTTTAGATTCGCGCCAGTAACTAGTTCGTTATAAATACCATAAACCATTGTGACATTGGACTTATTGGCACCAACTTAGCTATCTTGGGGGCCTCGCATTGTAAGGATAGTAATCGGAGCAATCGGCAAAGCTGGGCATGGAATCTGATGATCTCTCTGATGATCTATCTTCTGATCTAGCTGCTGATCTAAGTATAGCAATGGTTGGGTCAATGTGTAGAGCTAGACGAGCACTCTGTGTGTGTTTTTCCTGGGTGCACCACTCTGTTGGATGATGGGATGCCCGAGGTTGGGAAACCCTCAAGAGATACAATGCATCGAGTACGGAGCCAAAAAACGGCCAGTGACATCATTGGCAAGGATAAATATGATCTCTGTAAACCCGCAAAACGGACAATTTCATAGCCTTGTTCTTGCTGGATCTTTGGCGATTTTTGACGTCCTGATATTCCTAGTGCTGCTCCTTTGTTTGCCAGAACATGTCCGAGCTTGAGCCACCCTGCTGTTTTGAAATTGTGAAGCAAGTTTGGGGCAAACCAACAAATGGTACAGTATACTGTTACATCTGTTACTGGGCAAGTGAGGATACACACCTTTTTTCAATGATATGCAAGCACGGCAAACGTGCGAATCCCGTGTTGACTGAAGGTTCGAAAAAAATAAGATAAGGTGCTGGATGAGGTGAACATGAAAAAACATTGGGGGCCTAACCCAATGAAAAACATTGGCCTTTGGTTAACCTAATAAACAATAAGTAATCCTGGTTACAGTAATTTTGGGATAATAACTCAATTCAACATTGTTTATGATCATTAAAACCTTGGCTGTATCCAAATTAATAAAATATCAAGGTCTTGGCCCTTGAGCCGCGCATCTAAAGGGTATGTATGCTCGGAGAAGCAGGCGGGGTTCATCACTCTGGAATAACGCGCATAGTCATTAAGCACTTGATATGTTCTTTTTCAAACGCGAACCATATGTTGTTTGGGGTCCTCTATTTCGAGAACCAGCCATATACTGTATGTATTATGCTAGGTGATACTAACACAAGCACTGTGGGTGGACAACCCCTGCATGGGAGTTTCATTCAACTTGATCCTGTGAATCAAAGATATTCCTATACATACAAAAGGTATTAAAGCCATCGTATACAGGAAATCATGCATCTTGATCCTTTGAAGTGTACTTCCATTCATTGCCTTCGAACATGCCCGTATTCATAGCGTTGAGCATGATCCCAATGATTGGGGTAAAAAAAACAACCTGAATGGTTCGGTCATTTGGGGAGGATTCCCCGAATCCTACCCATCATGCCAGTGAAGGAGAACAGTGAGGTCGTTATAATTTACCCAGAATGATGCATCAAATAACCAAAATGATTCCATGTATTATTGCAGGAGTAGCCTGCAAAAATTCCCGAAGCGAATGCCTTGGTTTCATGAACGCGAACATACCATCGTGGTGGCCCACAGCGAAGTGACGGTGAAGATAAATCCCATAACTGTGGCAACTATGGAAAAAAACATATATATATATATATGTATATAACTATATAGTTCTATAACTATATAGTTCATGGAGGTTGGTTGTATTCCCATGGTTCCTTCTCTTCTTCCCTGGTCAAACCATGTCAGACCCAGTCGAATCGGTATGTTCTTTTGTTGGGTATCACCGTGATTTCCCAGCTGCGCGTCTACGAAGTTTACGACGATTGTCCCTGAGTTTACCCTCTGGTAAACTAACATAACTATGGAAAATCACCATTTTTAATGGGAAAATCCACTATAAATGGTCATTTTCAATAGCTATGTTAAATTACCAGAGGGTAGTTGGGTATCTCTGTATCGCCGAACATTTTTTTTGGGACAAACCATGGTCAAAGAGAGGTATGATAATGGGCATACAATTCATTACAATTCCATATCAAAGGAATTCATGATCACACCCCAAGGACTGGTTGGTTATACAATCCATCCAACTTTGGATTTACTTGGTTATATGATTTATATATACGTAATTATTCGTATATAGAACCTATCTATTCCAATAAATGCCAATCTTATGGTTACAATCCACCTTATATAATTTTACCATGGCGGCAGAAAACGACCCCATCACCGTCGCGACCTTGCCTGGCTGCACCCTGGGCAGTACATGCTCACGGGTGATATATCAAAATTAAAGTCATATCAAAAATACAATGACACATGCCATACTTGAATCATCTGAATAATCTGGATAGTGGCAAAATTCCTGGAATGATGCTCTGGATGTCCATCCCTACGGCTCATCACGCCGATGACATTGTCCGCGTTTCATGTCATTGGATCATTCGAGTGGTTTCACAAAGCATCGACTGGTTCTGGTGGTTGGTAAACACAATGCCTGACAGATTCCCATCAAACCTGGCCATGCGACCCCATGGTTGATCGTCATTTGCAGCGATGCATCATGACTTTGAGGGATCCCTTGGATCCCTTATCTACCTGCCGGTAATCAAACATGGCAATGGAAAATCCCAGCTGGAAACCTCCAATATTTCGGAGATTTGCCTTTCCAGCCATGTTTGACGACAGCAAATCGCAGGGAAAAAATATCATGATGACCTCCACATTAGACTACTCAGTTTGATAACCTGATACGTCCATTTTGGTATGGGATATCCCATGATACCGGGTATCCTTCATCCTTATATGAGTCCTATATACAACCATCAACAAAGGCGCCGGTCCCAAGGCCCCCGCGGTGGAGCCATGTTTTGCTCCCTGCGGTGGATCTACTCAGCAGGATACGACGCGGTGTTGATTTTTGTCCGCGTGTGGGATGAATTTGATTGATGTTGATATATGTATGAAGATTAAACAAGAAAAACATATTCCAGAAAGATGATCCAAGGTCTAGAATGAAAAATTGTATGTTGATGTAAAGATAGCGAACTTATTCCAGAAAATGATCCAAGGATATCCAAGGTATCCAATGATATCAGATTCGGCAGAGGAGTGAAGCAGCGGAAAAAATGTAGGGCAAACCACGGGTGTGTAAAGTTGGAGACATCATTGTGCGTAGCAGTGTTTCACATCCCAATACTATCTCACAAGTTGTTTGATAGTAAGTCAATAGACAATAGAACATTAATCATCAAACAACTTGTGAGATAGTGATTCTAGTGTCTATTGATATACTATCCCAAGTCCATAACCCCTTCCCCCTAGTAATAAACATCTCCATAAACCATGGTTTAGTAGGGGATATACACTAAATTTCGGATGCGGGGGACATCCACAGTCCACTGGTATAACTCCAATGACCCTTGCGTTGAGGACCTATAAAGTGTGGAAGGTGATACGTTGTGAGCGTCGAATATAAATCCTGGTGTGGCTACCAATATACAGGATCGTGGAACGGCGGGATCAAATTTATGTTGTATATTGTAAATACATATACATATATATATATATATATGTTTTTTTTCATTTATATATATATAATTATATACATATATATTGATATAATATGATTGTTGATGATTTTTTATCCGGGAACTCCTATACGTCTCTCCAGCATCCTTCACTTGTGTATAGGTAGCTGTGACATCATCAAAATGTCTGCCTGCAGGGTTCATCATTGTATGAGCTGCTCGTTTATTCCCATTTCCGTTGATTCAAAAGTGTAACTTGGGTGAAACTCCTAAATTTTGCTTGGCAAAAGTTACGTAAGAAAAAGATAGAAAAACACCAAAAAGGCCGCTGAAAGGCTCCAAGTAAAGCAAACTAGCAATTTTGGCTTTCAGAAAACATCCCATCCCCACCTGCTGTTGCCCCCCAGGGTCCCCCTTTTTAGGGGGCCACATCAGGGCCCACGCCCGGAGCCAAGACTGCTGCATTTTGAGAAACACAGAGTCCATGATATAACTGACGAAAATGATCCTGCATATATTTAGACCCTCCATTTGTACCCATAGCAATATGGTTTTACCATGTTTTACCATGTTTTACCATGTTTTACCATGTTTTACCACGTTCTACCCCCAATAGTGTGCCTACTTTCACCATGTTTTTTGGCGGGTATTTGGAGGGTCTATACGTATTTTTCCCAAAGGCCATGAAACTTTTGTGGCCACCATACGTGTTGAAAAATGGTAAGTCATGTGGAAAACCCAATGATAACCCTCTGGTTATGTCAAAATAGCTATTGAAAATGGCCATTGATTTCGTGAGTTTTCCCATGAATAGCATGGTGATGTTCCATAGTTTTTTGTAAACGTTTACCAGAGGGAAACCATCCCCAAAATCACAAAATCTTTATGGGCGGTATAATCCTGGTTTATGGTAGGTTTATTGCAGGTTTATGGCAGGTTTACCACATGACATTTTGGTCATTACTTAGAACTGGATCAGTGGGATACATTGAGACAAGCCACTACGAAGCCTGTATCAGGACTGTCATCCCGGTATCGTCCAACATTCACATCTGTGACCACACAATTTCTATGGGAAGAAACAACACAATTTAGATCTTTTCACCCATGACTGGTTGGTGGTATACCTACCCCTCTGAAAAATATGAGTTCGTCACTTGGGATGATTATTCTCAATATAGAAAAATGTTTGAAACCACCAATGTTTGAAACCACCAACCAGATGAATACTGGGCTTTTGATCAGTTCATACAGTATGGGTCATACTGAGTCATACTCCAACAATATCCAAAAATGGGCACAAACCTGAGCTCAACACCTCACCGTCTCATCTTTGTTTCAATCAATGAATTTTCCCATCTGACCGTGATGATCCCATGTATTGAAGCATCGGATTCACCCATGACGTTGGGTCGTGGTCGTTCATCCCGTTTTTTTGCGTTTTGGTCAACAAACTTCGGGGGGATGGTCATAAAG